GGACCCCGCAGCCGGCTGCCGTGACGGGGGGGCCGGCCGGAGCCCGGTGCCTCAGCCGCCGGCCGGGCCTGCCCCACACAGGGGCCCGGCCTCCTGCCGCGGGCGGGGGGAGCGACCCGGCTGCTTCTGTCTCACCCGGATCTTGCGGCTGATCTCGGTGCCGATCTCCATGGCCGCGCCGAGCCGCCCCCGTCCGTCCCGGCCCGATCCCCGCGGCCCTGGGCCCGGCTCCCACCGCCGCCCGCGCGGGTACCGAGCGCCGCTCGGGCTCAGCGCGCGGCCTCCGCCGGCACCGCCCCCTGCCGGGCGGCGGCCGCAGCGCGCCGGGACCGCGGGGCCGAGGGGGAGCGGCGGGCGGAGCCGGGGCTGAGGAGGCGCAGGGCCGCCCCACAGGGAACCGCGTTAACTCTGAATGCCAGAACACAACTGCGGGGTTATTCCAATATTAATCCTCTTTCTCGGGAATTACACAAATTGAATACTCTGTTATCTGTTAAAAGCTAATAAATTATGGTATAGCTATACAAAAAGTATTCAAGTAACTCTTAATGTCACACTACAGATATATAGGTTTCCTGGCCCCCATCACAACCTCTTATCACCTCCTTTCCCCATCAAGGCAGGAGAGAGAAAATATACCAAAAAGCCTCATGCGTTGAGATCAAGAACAGGAGACCTCACTCACTGATTACCGTCATGGATAAAACAGAGTTGGGGAAATTAGTTTAATTAACAATCAAATCAGAGTAGGATAATGAGAAATAAACCCAAGTCTTAAAACACTTTCCCGGCACCCCTTCCTTCTCCCTGCATTTAATTTTATTTCTGATTCCCTGCCTGTGTCCCCCCAACACCAGGGAGTGGGGGTTAGGCAGTTCATCATCTGTTTGCTCTGACAGTGTTTCCTTCTCCCTGCTCCCAGCAGAAACACTCTGCCTCACAGACTGCATACTCACTGCTGCAGTGGGAATCCTCTTCACGGGCTGCAGTTCCTCACAAACAGCCTCGCCACGGGTCCCTGTCCCACAGTCAGTCTGTCCTTCAGGTACAGGCTGCCCCAGCGCAGGTCCCTGCCCCACAGGGTCACTGGTCCCTAAGGCAAACCTGCTCCAGCATGGGCTCATCTCTCACAAGGCCATGGATCCTGCTGGGAGCCGCTCCAGCACGGGCTTCCCACACATCCACGGCCTCCAGGCATCCATGTGCTCCTGCGTGGGGTCTTCCTTCCGTGGGCTGCAGGTGCATCTCTGCTCCCCTGTTGACCTCCGTAGAATTCAGGGCCACAGCTGTCTCACCATGGTGTTCACCATGGGCTGCAGGGGAATCTTGGCTCTGGTGCCTGGAGCAGCTCCTGCCCCTCCTTCTGCACTGACCTTGGTGTCTGCAGAGTTGTTCCTATCGCATATTGTCATTCCTCTCTTGGGCTGAAATTTGCTTGTGCGCAATAACTTTTCCACACTTCTTAAAAATGTCACCCCAGAGGCGCTACCAGGGCCACTGATGGGCTTGGCCTTGGCCAGTGGAGGGTCCATCCTGGAGCTGTCTGGCTTTTACCTTAACAGACATGGAGGAAGCTTCCAGCAGTTTCTCACAGAAGTCACCCCTGTAGCCCCTCCACTGCCAAAACTGGCCACACACACCCGGTACAGACATCTACACCCACTACAAGCATCTCACTGCTACAAGGGATTAGTTGCAGGGGCAGCAGGGGTTGGGGTGAAGAATGATGTGATGACAAGCCTACAAGTAAGCAAAAAAGAAGTAATGTTTGAGGCCAACAATTTATGTTTTGCACCAATGCCTTGGATTCATTTCAGCTGGTTTAATGAGTGGTCATATTATAGAAAGCCCAGCCTAGAGATAAAGGGTCTTTTCCAAGTAATGCCACTGATTAAAATAAACTCCAGGCATTGTAGTTAACAGCTGTATTAATCCCTTTCTACATCACTGTTCCTAATATAAATCAAACATCATACAGAGATAGCTTACACTAATTATTGCTAATGATCTGAGCTGTTTGCCTGACTCCACTGGTGTTACAGCGAGAGAGAACCAGTAACAAATCAGTTTAACTACACCATTCCATTTTAACCTTTAAGAGACACATGTTGCTTTCTTAAGATTTCAATTATGTTGTACTGTGTTGTAGTATTGGAAAAAGAAAAATAATTATTGCAGTACAGAAACAAGAATTAAGTTTATTTAATCAGTAAAGGATTTACTCTACATAAAGCTACTCTGTTTGAGGAAGGTTTCCTTTACAACTAATAGCAGGAGCTCATTTTTTCAAGTTCAGTACTACATTCTGTGTAGGAAAACTGCCTGTTTTCTTCTAATAGGAAAATTCTATAACCTTAACTAGTTACTTAATAGAATATGTTCAACACTTTACAGTGCCTTCTAAGTAAAAATAAAGCTTGTACACATGAAATTGCAGGCTTCAAGCATGTAATAGATATATGGTATGGTCATTTTTCTAGCAGTCCTCTCTACTACCATCAAAAATATATAATGATGCATAAAGACCCAGCCATCTCTTGCTTTCTCGCAAATAAGAAATAGAATGATGAAAAAACAGGAAGGCTTCAGAACCAAAACATGATGAATAAAGTGAATTTGTTTAGAGAACAGCTTTCAGATTTAGAATTAGACTTATTCTGACTTTTCAGTTCATGACATTACTGTTTAGCATGGTGTAAATTAAGATGTTTTTCCACAAGACTTCTTCATTTTTCAGCACTGTGGGAAAGCCCCTTTAACTAGTAGTTTCCGGGTTATCCTGCTGGAATTTTATCACAAAAGGGTAATTTTCCACTAGGCTGAGGAGTATATACTTGCATACCCCTTTTCTGCCTGGAGGCTGCCTGATTCTGCTTCCTGTTTGGCTTGCTTCCAACTTTCTGTTTTACCTTTAGTCAATACAAAGACCAGATGCTGGAGAGTTCCTGTGGAATTGAAATAAGGGGACTATTTGCATCAACTTCCACCTATTGCCTGATACATTCAAACTGCAAACATATATTTGAACCAAGATAAAAAACCAAACCAACCCTCCAAAAACCTGTCTCAGAAGGGAGGATGTCTTCCTTTTTCTGAGAAAAAAAAAGTAGCAGGCCATAATCAACCTAATGGACAGAAACTTTCCTTTGCATCTACAGAACAAGGGGTGCAGAATTCAGCTCTGGGATGTTATTCATTTCCTCACATGAACTTCAAAAACAGAATAAAGAGTACAGCAAAGATGAGGTCAAGAACCACGAATGTTGTGTGTTGGCTGGGGCTTAAAGGGGGAAGCAGAAGCTCAGTACTGTGCCCTCAGGTAATCACTACATTTTATTGATATGTCTTTACCAGAGTCCATCATATGTTCATGGATGCCTTTATCTCTGTTCCTTTCATTATAGTTAATAGCTGGAGCAAAGCAGGTAATACAGAGGTGGTGAGATAAAAAAATGAGGGGGCAATATGGAGAAAGTGTGGAAAACCGCAAAGTTTTGGCACAAACTGGGGTTATAAGAAGGAAAAAGCAGAAAAAAATCATATTTGTGAATACAAATGTGATGAACTTCGAAAGGAGATGTAAGCTGCAAAGGAACTTATTGACAATGTCATAGCTGTCTCTTTTAAGATGAGGTGTTGTTTTTAATGAAGAAGAAAAGAAGGAAAATGCAGCAAGAACTAACTATGGAAAGCAAGGAAGGTCTAATAAATGCAATTTCTAGGCAGGGAATCAGGCAGGAAAAGGGTGTGATGAAGAATTAGAATAGGAAATGTGACAGATATGAGAATTGAGACTTTGTTTCCAGTATGAATTCTTTAGAAATAGGCGGGGTTGCCTCTGTAAACCTGAATTTTCATGGCTTGGAATTGTCATACATTGTATCAGTCAGTTTTCTCCAGCAAGTAACTGCAGTTCTGTCCTCTAGCAGACATCTTTAGCAAAGAGTATCTATTTGGGTTAGTTCAAGGTTAGTTTATTTTACTCAACATAAGATTCCCCCAACTAATGGTTTATATATTGCTTAAGGACTGCTCACCATAATTATGGCTAATGTGTGGAGGGGAATAAAAAAGTGATACTCTGATCTGAGAGAAGATGATCAGGAGGGATAACTCAGAAGAATTCATTCTAGTACAAAATTACCTACATATTTCAGCTGAGGTTAGCGTCCTCGTGAGCAGCTTGCTATTTGCATAGTTGACCTGCAGGTTGGACCTGCTCAGACAGTAGCATGTTTGTGCACTTCACATTACCAAAACACTTTCTAGGTTTTACAGTTATTAGTCAGCGTTCACATACTCACTTACCTTTTTCCTCATCCCCGACTGGTTCCAAATTTGTATAAATTTTTGCCCAGTTCACTCAATGTGGAATATTCCAAATTGTACACAATTGTTGATTTCACATGCACACAAACACACGGAGGTCTTCATACACTTGTGAGACTGGAGCACAGCCCCTCTTGTGGTGTTTGCATTAGTTAAACACTATAAATAGTCCTGAATTTATATGCATTTAAAGCTTGCTAAGACAGCTGTTCTTAAGGGTATAATTTCTACTGACACCTTTGGGAGTTTTTAAGTCCAGACAGGCTGAAAGATCAGCCTTTAGTCTGCGAGTTTTTTTCTGTGTATCTCACTAACAGCTGAAACTTTGCAAGGACAGAAATGTACGTGCATAGGTCATTTGGTAAAGCACACAGGAATTTAAACCTTGAAAATATGTCCAAGCTGCATGAAAACAACACCAACAGAATTTTGGTAAGACATTTGCCTTAATTGGAAAGGCTTAAAATAAATGATCATATGATTAAAAAAAGCAAGGATTGCCTGCTATTTGTTGTAACCCCTATTTGTGTAGTGCCCCTGTAGCCAGAGAAGCAGCTGTTCATTGCTGACATTCTCCCTGCCAGGCATTCCAACTCTCTGAGGTAATGGGCTACAAGCATACGGGCCTTCGCTTTAATTCTTTCAGCGTATCCTTCCGCATGGATAGAGCGAGGGGAACGCCTCCAGGAAAAGAAATTAAATGCACACACACAGAGGCACCCAGGGACGGCCGATTCGAAAATATTTCTGAGAACGCAATTTGCGCTCATGTGGCACAGCGTCTCATGAAAGAGGCCGCCCGAAGAGCCGGCTGGCACAGGTTTATTTTGTTGTAGTATTTTCTTCCACCCCCCAGCTCTTTACCCAGTGGAATGATATCCAGAGCAAGTTTTTTGAGACAGGAAGTGAGGAATGTTTTCACTATGAGTGATCTGAGAAGAAGGTGGGTTAGCCGAGCTAGCAGCTGTTTCGGACGGGAGGAACACAGTAAGTCAGTTCCCGAGGAATACAGATGAGATGGCTCCGGCAGAAGCAGCCTTGGAGCGCTCGGGGTTTTTATCGGCTACACGTACGTGAAAGGAGACCCGGTGTCTTTGGATCGCGGTGCAAGGTAAGGGAAAAACAGCGGGCACGGTAAACACATAGCGGGTGATCTTCTCTGCCGTGTGCTGTAAGGCTGAAGAGTTTCAACCACTTACTTTTTGAAAAGTAAATGGTTGTAAATGGGACTGTGCTTCTGGAGGTGGGCTAAGTTTGAGATATGCACTTACTGCTGCTGTCTCCGAGAGTCCGAGAGTCATGTCAAAGATTAACTGGTAAAACAAGGAGAGGGTGGAGTATTTTAATTACTTTTTTGACTGCCCAAATATCTGTGAAATAAAAATATATGTATTTCAAGAATGTGAAGTAATAGGAACCCTATTTCACCATGATATGTGTCTGTTTTATTTTGATTACTGTCATTTATGCAGACTGTTTAAAAAAATTGTAAAGTCAAATGGTAATAACTGAGGGGGGAGTAGGAGGTGAAGGTAAAGGAGAAAGATACCACAGTGCTCAGTAATCACACATTAGTCATGGCCATGTTGCTGAAATTCTAATATAGCACTTTTGAAGCTACAGGTTGCTGTTGAAGTATAAAGGTACAAAGTTTGGCTGCTAAAGACATTGCTAGCTGTTGCACGAAAATTCCAGTCTTGGTAAATAAAAGCTTGTTATTGTAAAGGTCATCAGTTGGATTTGTAACTCCTGGCAGTATGTAGCCATGAGTTTTTTTGCTAAAGTAGCTTAAAACGATGTAGGTAGTTCTGAATTTAAAGTAATGCAGCAGACAAATTTGAGAGCACCTAGGACTGCAGAATGCACAGCTGTTGAATAAAACCAACAATGTTTGCAAGAACTACACATGGCTAGCAGTAGAAGATACTGAATGATAACCTGTTTGTTTGTTCAGCAAACTTGCCTTTGTTCTACACAATTGTATGCGAGGAATCTTTTTTTAGTTTCCTTTTATAACATGGTCTGGAAGTTAATTACTTGACTTTTTCTTGTTATAAATGGGTTACAGAAGTCATGAAGATTATGTCAGGTGTACAAAAATGAAATAATTTAGGGTAAATGCTCAGTGGAGCATTCAGTGTAAACAACAGATCAGAACCTGGAGAATGTTCCTGGCTGGCACTTTCTGAAACTTCTGCTCTAAACTTCCCTCCTATGTTTGCATTGCTACCTGTTTGCATAGTGAAATAACTGAAAGTCTGAGGCTGCCTCCTGCCAGCATTAGATGATTTGGAAATTTCACCTGTCAGGTTAGCCTCTGGTTAGTGATTTTTGTTTTTTGGGTTCCCCCCCCCCCCCCATGCTCTTAAAATACTTTTCTAACCCTTGATATGAACAGAAAAGATTGAAAGTCTTTCACACTCAGTGGTATTCCATAAAACCTGAGATTAAAACACTTCTGCATTTCTGACTGTAGCTTTCAGAGAGGAGTAAATTGGTTTCTCTCATTGCTGTAGCACCAAAGAAGACACCTAACTGTGCAAAGAATGTATTGGAAAGTGGACCTCAGGGACAGGAGCTAAGGTCAGCCAGCTAAATGTTACTCTGTCAGGAATAAATCCAGTGCAAGATTCTGCTGGCAGTGGACAGGGGACTAAAAGCTTCTGTCTGTAGAGCATTCCCTGCATGCTGTTCAAGCAGGGCTGGATTTGGAGGATCAAAGTGCAGAGGGAGTAATAACATGAGGATTCCCTCTGTATCCCTAAATTTTTCATGGAAACCTGTTGCTATCTGTTGTTTCTTCTACAGCTACACCCAAAACCGAATTTGTTGGTGTTTGGGTGGGGATTGTTTTCTCATTCAGCTGAGATTTTAGGCGGTATCTGTTGAGGATGGTGATTGTGTAGAACTGCTTCAAGATTATCACAAACAAGGTCATGAAATATGCTTCTGGTCATTCTTGGAGGGTTGCAAAGATGTCATTGAGAAAAAATGCCTTGCTGCCTCCTTTTTCCTCCCATTGTAGGCCTTTAATGTCTTTCCACCTTCCTCTCTTCTTTGCTGACTGGGGAGTAGGGAGTCTGATAGGGAGTTTTTAGCCTGAAAAGTTTGTGGTTACATTGGATAAGTTTCTAGGTGGGTATATCAGTGTCCGAGGAGAATGTGGTGTCTGTGTGTTTACAGCTATTCCTTTGAGTTTAAAAGCAGGTGTGCTAGGGAGACTACTTCTTCCTGTTCCCCCATTCCAAAGAAACTAATATCCTCATGGTCCTCCTGTCTGGTCATCCTAAGAGTCCTCAGAAATCAAATTGTGCCTTTTAATACACGCTACTAATACATGCCGGCCTGGGAAAAAAAAAAATCAAGAAGAGAAGTAGGCTTTTGTTTTCATTCCCGTTCCATCGGGGCGGCGCTGCCGCTGGAGGAGCAGGGACAGAGCTGTGCCCGTGGCCGGGGACAGCAGCGCGGCGGGCCCGGGCGGCTCCGGGGGCGCTACCGCCGCGACCCGCACAGCACAGCTCAGCACAGCACAGCCCAGCCCTACACAGCCCTGCACAGCCCAGCCCAGCACAGCCCAGTCCAGCCCAGTCCAGCCCAGCACAGCCACCTCGCCGAGGGAATGGCATCCCTGACCCAGCTAAGGAGCCTTCCAGCCCAGATCCGCCCGTGACTCTGTGACACGTTTCACAGACCAGGCTGCGTGCGCTAAGAAAACACTTGGGAAACGAGGAAGGCAAAGCATGGAATAGAGTTGACAGGAAAAGAGGCGTGAAGGTGTTTGCAAAAAGTGGGGAGATGGGTGGCTACCTGTAGTCTGGTAAGAGTATGTTTTTCAAGGGAAAATTAGGAAATAAAAGGTTCTCAGAATTCACATACTGTCTTGGTGAGGCAAAGCATAACCTGAAGCATCATACAGCAGTTTAACATAAGGAATGAGCAGTACAACTTGCTGTAATCCATGGAAGATTAAAGGAATTGCACTTTAATTGTCTGGTAAGGAGTGAGTTTTAAGGCCTCCCTTGCCTTTCTTTTTTTTGCCTTTATCATTTATGGGGCTTGGTTTTGTGTTTAATCCAACAGCAGATAGTGGCTGAGGCTGCACAACGCTCTGATAAACAAGCCAGTTTGCTGGATTTGCTCATAAAGAAACCGTCTGTGTTCAGTATTACAAATACCTTAGGCAACTCAGATTTCATAAACATATTTTATTTAAATAGCGATTCAGTTTATAAATACTTATTTTAAGACACTGCAGTCACACATGATTAAGATTCATTATTCACTTGTGAGTTTAAAAAAAAGAGATCAACTTGCCAAAACCCAATGTCATTTGTGGAAAAACCAGAAACTCTGGTACTTATTTCATTATTTGAATACATAACAGCCCTGCGTTTTGGAAAGGTAGGCTGATTATTTAGATTTAGAAAAAAAATATACATGTTATTTTTCCCATGTTACCATTCCCTTTTCAGTCAAACTTTTTCTGATTCTTGTATTTTTCTCTTTCGTTCCTTACTAGGACTCCGGTGGATGTCTCTTCTCCTTGTCTCTTGGTGGAAAACTTGCTTGGCTTTAATGGATACTGCTGCTGCTGGTTGATCTCTGGAGACTTTACAGCTCCTTACCTTTAGAGAGGAGGTGCCTTCTTGTCACCTCTCAAGGTCTCAGTGGTAGTGGCTCTTTATCACTAACCATCTCTGGGGGGAAAAGAAGATGCCTCTTCCTTTTGGGTTAAAATTGAAACGAACTCGACGTTACACAGTATCCAGCAAGAGTTGCTTGGTGGCTCGTATCCAGCTGCTCAACAATGAATTTGTGGAGTTCACGCTGTCAGTGGAAAGCACGGGCCAGGAAAGTCTGGAAGCAGTGGCTCAGAGGCTTGAGTTGCGGGAGGTAAGTGAGTTGTCAAGTGAAGGTGTAACTTTAGTTTTTGGTGCTATGTGGTAACTCCTTGCCATGTAGTTGATCAGCTACTGGAGCAGCTATCCTGTGTTCCCCTTGTTTCTTCACCTTCTGGTCTTTATGGGGACTTGGGTTGCTCCTAAACAGTTGTTAAAGTTGTTACAGAGTTTAGGGAATGTCCAAGGGGAGGAAATGTGAGAAGTATCAGTGAATAAAAGCTTAGAATGCAGCAAAAAAAAAGGCAACTGTTTTTTAAACATGACATTGATGAAAATTCTACTTGAAAAAACCCACAAAGGAAGAAAATAATTTCTACCTAAGCAACATGATTGAAAACGACAGCAAGACTTGAGTCATAAGACAGCTTTTTATTTGTGTGCGTATTTGATGTATTAGTGCTGTAAAAAGAATCTAAAGCACAAAATGTGATAAGTGTACCAGTTACCAACTGTTTGTCTTGCTTGTTTAAATACCACAAATATATTGGCAGACACTGTCTTGGAGCTCATACACAGTCATATAGATAGAGCGCTGGCCTAATGGAGAGACTTGGTTTGTGGTGGTTGAATATGTAAATATCTGCTCAACCTGTTTTCCCCCCAAAATCTCCTTACTTGGTATTTTAAAGGATGGTTGTGGAACTGAAATTTACTCTTCCACACATTTAGTGATTATTTCTACATCTTCTGTGTTGAGTGAATTCTTTCTGAAATGCTAAGCTTTGAAATGTTCAGAGAAATCTACATAGATGACCAACATATGAACCAATGTCATTATTTTAAAAATTGTTGAGCACAGGTGGTTTGAAGGCAGTATTTGAATGCTCTCAGTCCTGGGTGAACTGACATTTCCCCCTAGAGTCTGAAAGGTTTAGTTTAGTTGATTTTGGAGTCATTGAACTATGACAGTATGTGCACTTCTGGGGGGCAGGAGAGAAAAAACTACTGATAAAAGTTTGGGCTGCTAACATTGTTCTGAAAAATACCCTTTTGTTCTGTTATGTGGTCTGCCATAGAATGACCTTTTGATTATGGAATTCAAATACAGGATGAAAACCCTGGACTTAAGTAACCAAAAAATGAGTAATTGTGAAAATAATTAGTAATAAATATTTACATTTATAACTATGATCCTTTGAAATATTACCTTTTTATTGTCAAGCAGTGGCAGCTGTTGGTAACTTTGCTCAAATATTGAGAAAATATATTTAGAACTCAATCCTGCAAACATTATTACTTTAGCAAGCATGCATTACTGTAGGATTCCTCAGTGGGAAAGGTTATATATAGTAATTTGTTTTCAAAAATGCTTTTTATTCTTTCTGTTTAAAGAATAATAAGAAACAAAATAGATGTGAAGCCATAAGGGTTTGTTTATTGTGGTTGTTTTCGATTGCAATATGCATTCTTGTAGAGTCTCCAAGTATTTTTTAGTGTACAGTTCTTTTGGAAAATGCAATTCTTTTCAAGGGTATACCTTCTTTTTTTAATCTTTCTCCTTCTAACAAAAGGAGAATCTAGCTATGCTTGTAGCCTTAGTGTTTACCTAGAACACATCAGATATCATATATTTAGAATTTAATTATTGTTGTGTGAATGGAGTTTGTCAATTTTATCTGTCTACTTTCAGATGGAACTTAGTCACAGAAAGTATGGAATTTTTACTGTTTGCAAAATGCAAAGGCTTTGTCTTCCTGAATGATGACTACTAGCTTCTATTGAACCAGTCAGAGTGCTGGAAATGCAGTTTTTTCAGCTATTCTTCATTATCTTGTTCTTTGGAACCACTCCTAAATATCTGTTTAAAAATAAACACATAAAAAAAAAGAGAGCAAGAGATGAAATTCCCTCAATTAAGGATCATATATCAGAATAAGGGAGTTGACAGTACACTATTGAACTCTGAGCAGATTCCTTCAATCATGCATTCTTGCATGGATTATTTTGGCAGGAAAATGTGTTGCAATAAAAGGGAATGGAAAATAGGGGTATAAATTACTTCCCAGAGCTTGCATTCAGAAAAAGTTTTTCTGCCTTTAAATAGTCAGATTTGCCAAGCAGATACTGGATCACTCCTGATGGCTTGCTCAGTAGAGAGTTTTCAGAAAGAAAAATGTGTTCAGCACTTTCATTAAACCTGCAAAAACAACTTTAGGCTTTGATGCAGTAAAGTATAAAGTATTTCTGTAAGAAGTTGCCTATTTTTAGTTCACTGAACAGCCTTAGAGCATGAAGTTGAATTCTAAGTGTTCAACATGAAAGTATGACTGTTTATTTAAATACTGAGGCTGGGGACCATTCTCACATCCAAGGTATCAGTTTCAGATTACTGTATATGGCCTCCACAGCTAGGACAAGCAGTTCCCAAGCATCTTCGAAACAGTTTACTGCATGAGGCATTAGGGGAATCTCTACCATTTTTTACACATTCAGGGGTAACATTTGTAAATACCTCTTTCTCTCTGGTGTAGTTTGGAATTACTGAATTTGGACAGCTGAACTGAACTATTTTTAAGGATGTGCCATCTTTTAAGATATTTGTTTTAACAGATCTTTATGTAAATGAGTAACTTTCAAATTATGCATTGCATGGCTAAACACTGTTTTTCTTTTGATTTTCCAGTTAGCACTTCTCAATTTCCAAGTTGTATACTGGTATGGACACATAGTTAGCATTTAGGAAGATTTACATATGTTGACAACTTTATTTTTTTATGGAATGGTAAACTTTATAGAAAAGTGAAATGAATTCATTAAACTGAGTATCTTCTGGTATTCCTAGAATGTGACTCATCAGGCATGAGAATGTAATCCAGCTCTCTTAAACTGAGGAACTGGGGAAAGAAGCCAAAGGGAATAGTGAACATAAGTTACTTACCTTTGTAGAACAGTCTGTCTTTTACCCCATGAGAGAACTATAACTAAACATGATTTATGCAAAAGGGTGGTACAGAAAACCATTCTGGAATCACAAGTTTTGAGAAAATGCTGAGATCTCTACTGTTAACTACCTTAAAAAGTATGTACAACAGTGCTAATCTTGCATCTAAGGCAATGAGTATGCAAATGAAATCCTTGAAAATATAGAGATTTTTTAGAACATTGTAATATAGCTACAATGCACATTAGTACATTAGCTAGCTAGGTTTGGGAGGAGATGTTATAACTGGTGCCTTTCTCTTGTTGATTTGTTGTTGTTGTTTTCTAAACAACACAGCACCTCTAAACCAGAGAGCAGGGGCAAATTCTGCTACTGTGTACAAGCAGAGTCTGACTTAACTGCAGATATGTGGGAGAGTGCAAGAATAAGAACCAATGGCAGGGAACTTCTGTGGAGTGTATGTGTTGTGCATATGGAAGTTCCTGTGTTTGTTTTGGATATGCAGAGGAAAAGGAACCAAGGTTATCTGGATCCTGAATAACTTCAAAGTTCTGAAACAGTGCTTGGGAAATGCTTGAACTATGCTGTAAAACTTTGCTCTGAATTCTAAAACATCAGTTATCTTTTGGAGAAAACATAAAAAAATACCTTTAATTCATTGCGGTGGTTTCTTAAATGTATTTTGCATATAAAAAGAGTGTTTTTAAAATCAGACCAAGCTCAACCATAAATATTCTTATGTCTTTATGTATCAGTAACCATATTGTCTGACAAATGACAGTTGGGCCACGTCATGACAGAGGGATCATGAACATAATTATGTTTATGTCTGGTATCAAAGTCTGACAACATTTTAGCTGATGCTTGTAGAAATAGGGAGGAGAAGCAGTGCTGGTACTTGAACTTCTGTGGTTGCCTCTCTCAACCAGATTTTCCTTATTATTAGGAAAGGAGAAATTGACATGGAGAAATATGTATAAGGATGCCAGTATTCCATGTGTAATCTGATTCGTTTAAAAGATGCTGCTTTATTGAAAAGCAAATTTGAATCCATCTGAAATAAGTATTAGTTATAAGAGTGTGATAATTGTAATTTAGGAACCAAGGGAAATTGGAGGATAGAATAGTTAGGCAAAAATCAGCAACTGCCTCAGTTCAATTATTGTAGTTCTTCCTTCCTCTGAAGGAAAGAAGATTTACATTCTGATAAAGGGTTTGCAGTGAGTCATATACTGAGCAGCACAAAATGAAGGTTTTTCCATGAAAACAATAGTGGCAATTAGGAAGCCCTGCCCCTGATTTCCTTAGCATTTTTATAAAGTTAAGTCAAAATTTGAATATGCCACTTAATTGCATTTTGTTTATCATCATGTCAGTTTTATACCAATTTTGTACAGTTTTATACCAATTTTGACAGAAGAGGTTTTCTTTACTTCTGAAGCAAAGGCATTAGCTTATTGTTTAGTATTTTTAGACTTCTTTGAAATTTGGCTTTTCCTTTTAGTAAACCAATCAGAACGTAAAACCTCTGATGAATGGGAACATTATACTTCTTCTAATGTCACTGATGTGTAAGGTGAAGTCAAAAGCAGTTATGTGACTTCATCCTTCTCAGAGCCTTGAACAGTGGTGGAGAAAAGTAACATGATTTTTTCAAAAAAGTATATTTATGCATTTCTGGGTCATGTTGATAACTGGCTTATCTCTGCCAGAGGTTATAATATACCTTGGATATAATGTTTTCTGTGCAATAGGAAGGTATGGCTCTTTAGCTTGTAAATCAGTCAGCTTACCTTTGTCAAATGTCCTGATGAGTAGAATCTTCCTTGCCTGTTAGAAGATTGTTTATTCAAGATATTTGAAGGGTGTAAAACACAGTGTATTGTGATTTGTACAGTGATACATTAGAATAAGTTAGAATACATCAGATTGCCTTGCAATATATTGATTTGCTTATTTATTTTTTATCCCTTCTGTTTTGCTTTAAACTATAGTTGGCAATTACTTTGTTTAAATAGCATTTGTGAAATCCATATTAGAGTAGTTAGGAGAATAATTGTGTGAGTTTTGGAAAAAAATTTCCATTATGAAAGAACTAAGATTTAAGAATAAATTGTCTCTTTGTTCATATAGCTACTCTGCTAAATATTCCCTCCTGCAGCTACAGTTGAAGAGCTTGTCAGTGCTAGGACAGCAAAAACAGTATAGACAAAAGTACCCTACAGTAAATAGCTTCAATGTGGGGGGAAAGGGAGGGATTTATGTCAGTGATCCTCCTATTTCTGCCAGAAGAATTGGTCATGGTAGTAATTAGAGAAGTGCAACTTTCTCCTTAGTGGCTGCTACATGATGGGAGTCACTGATGTTTTTTTCTCCACCACTTCCAGGAAATCTTGGATATTGTACATTGGCTGGTCCAGGCTGCTCCAAGTCCTTTTTTAGGTAGAGACTGGAAAGTTTTGTGGAGGAGGTTGTCTGTTGTGATAAGAATGGAGTTTCTGGAGAATTTTCAAGGCCTGTTGTCTCCTTCTGTAGCTCTTAACACTGGGCGTAGAGAAAAGCTTTCATTTGGTATCTGCCAGTTGTGCTTATTACAAGATTATTGACCCAGTCCTCCTGCACGTGGTTTATTTCAACTGTGCTGTCCTGATAGCAGGGGCTGTTCTGTATCCAAGCATATAATAAAGCTAGATGTGGTGGAGCCCTTGGGCTAACTGGGATTTTATGAGTTTGACTGCAGCGCTTCTCCTTCAAGAAGGAAAGGTGTTCTCAGCATTCTGATCAGGGAAGTCTTACAGTTTGTAAAAGAGGAAAAGCCTGGAAATACATTTTGACTGCATTCTTCTACTATTGTTTTATCTTTTCTGATTTTTTGCCTCAGATCTTAGGATGGGAATTCCTCAGGTACCCTTGAGGCAGGTAACCAAATGCATTAATTAGAAGGCACTGTATTGACCAGTCTCTTGGTAATCTATGACATATTTTGTAAGATTTATAGTGCAGGATATGGAAATAACCTGGAAATTATATTATTAAATATGTAAGGCTGAAGTAAATTTTGAACACTGCCATGCCTCAGGGGAACTACAAGATTTGTGTGGTCCTACCTCTGCTCAGGAGGATCAGGTGCTTCAGGGGTGCCTGGGTTTACCACCCAGGTGCCTCCAAGGATAGAGATTTGACACCTCTTTGGGCTATCTGTTCCAGTGTTTGGCTAGCCTTGTTGTGAAATTTTTTTCCTGATCTATTGGAATTTCCCACATTGCAGTTTGTCCCCAGTGCTTCTCATACGTGCCGTGATTACTTCAAAGGAGACCCTGGCTCTATCTTCTCTCTCTGTGCCCTGCTCTTAGGCAATTGAAGTCCACAGTAAGATTTTACTTTGTCTCTTCTAAGGCTGATCAGCCCCACTTCTCTGACTTTCACTGCACGTCATGCCAGAGGATCTAATGTAGTCACCTGCAGTAATGTAGTTTTGTGGCACTCATTCCTGGAGAAACTCCTCTGCTTAGCTGAGGAAGTCTGGGTGACCTCAATGATGAAGTCACTCCCTCCAGCTTGTGAGCTGTGGATACTGTGTGGGGCTTTTGGTACTTTTGTGTTCTTGATAGCTCTTGAAATTTTACGCAAAAATATTTACTGTCTCTGGTGTCAGAAAGCAAGTAGGTAGAAATTAACTGTGCAGAAATTATATGTTCCTTTTATTTCTGTTTGATTTTCTTCAGAGGGGTTGGGTCATGAATAAGTCACTAAAATAACCGAACCTCAAAGTAGTGTTAATCTTAACAGCTTAACATATTTTAAGAATTATGTCATGACATTCTTTTTAGCACTGGATGTTGTCCTGAGCTGCTAATAATAAAATGTTTTAGCAATGAATAAAAGTGGGTTCTATTTTAATCAGTGCGAATATTCCAGGGTGCATAAGCTCCTCTGAAAACTCACAGGATCAAATTCTGCCCTTGAAGTGAAGTGAAAGGTTTGCATAGAAGTCAGAAGACCAGCTTTGGTTTGTAGTATTTTGCATGGCTTGTATAAAGATATGCTGGATTCCAGAGGATATTTTAAAACGTGGAAACATTTTTCTTAGTCTGTTATACTCAGTTATGTGTAGGCAAGAAAAAGTGGTCAATGTTTCCAAGAAATAGATCAACTCAAGTGATCATCATGCCTTAAAAATAGTCTATACGTTCAGTTTAAATTCAGGGCGTAGAACCAGGAGTATTTTTAAATCAGAGAGTTTGTAACAATGGCAATGTTTGTGGTCTCTTCTCCTCACCTTTGTTATACATCTGTGCTTCTGTGAGGTTTAAGTACATCAAGGCTGCAAGTGAGTTTATTCAAACAATTGCTGTACTTGTTTTTGGGTGTATTTTCGGTTGGCTTACAAATATGTTTGTGTGATAGCATTTATAGAAAACTTTCAGCTGTAGCTCTTACCCTTTTCTTCCAGTCTCTGCCATGGCCATTGCCCTTGCCCAGAATGTTGTGGTTCCACATTTTAGCGCCCAGCCCGAGGCTGATGTGGTTGTCCTGTCAGAGAATTGGGCTGGGTCAGAGCAGAATGTCAGCATCCTGGTCTGACTTTGGCTCCTGTGACTGCTTGCATGCCGTTAACAGTCTTGGGATGAAAGAGAAACACACCTTTTTACACACATTCCTTTCCTTACTCAGTCTGCAGGAAGGAGTCAGTCATTCAGTACATTTTATCCTTTTTATCATATGATATTGCAGTGAACATGATATTCTTTTGTAATGGTGTTTCTGTGGTTCTACTGTTGGGTTTTTTTTCCCTAGTACCTTATAGAATTGGAGCCACTGTCTTCACAATAGCCCGTGGGGTGATGGTGGTCACCTTATGATTGGGGCATTGAAGAATAGAAATAAAGTGTTGTTTATGGTGTCAGCAAACTTTGTGTGCCTGGACTGGGAAATAACAAATGTGTTGTTTATATTATTTATATTCAGAGCCATATTTCTTTTAGTAGGTGTAGGCATTCATGTGTGACAGGAAATCTAAGGGAAGTGGGGAAGACAAATGGAAAATGACATGGGAGAGCAGTAGGGCAAAGCAAGGCTCCTCTGGGGACCTGGTAGGCTCCCAGGGGATGCTGAAGGACAAAAGAGCACAGGACAGCTGCCCAGCAAAAGCTGAGCTCATTAAAGCATATGCATGGCTCACTGCACGAGCAGGAAGAGGAGCAGATACAGCAGAGCAGGAAGATATCTTGCCTGAGTGGGCCACTCCTGACCAAACCAAAACACAAAATACAGAGTGCACTGGAATAGACCTCCTAGAGAGGCTGAGGGACGGCACCCCTGGAAGGTCAAAATCCCACTGGACAGCATGTTGAGCAACACAACCTCATTTTTATTAGATCCTCTCTCAGAAGGAATCTGGATCAGAGTATTTTTCACTTGCTCCACAGTACAGTTCTAAATCCATACTGCAGAGTCACCCACAAAAATTTAATTTTCTCCATTATGTTTAAACTGACTAAAATCTGCTCCCATGTTTCTTATTTAGCTCAGTTCTGGACAAGCAAGCAGATATGGATTGGAAAATATTCATGTCATTATCATAGCAAAACTAGATATCATAATTAGAAGTGTTTTAACTGAAGGAGAGAGATAAGTGAATGTTAAGAATTACCAATTAGGTCTGTAGGTATTGACATGAAAATTCTCCAAGTCCTTGCTACATAAATTTTAATGTATTTAGAAACTGTAGAACTGCCAACACCTTTAATCCAATATTTTTCCTTACATATTTTCAGACATTTTTAAGTTACACAAAATAAAGTTTTTAAGGATGGAGTTTTATAAAGCAGAGGGAGTATTTATCATGATTTCTCTAAATCAATAATTTCTGTCAACTAGTCATGGAAAAATTGCCTCCCTAGTAAAAGAAGTATTTACTTTTGCTTTCTCAAAAGCTGTAGCATTTTTATATTGTGGAGAACAGATTTGAAATTTATTGGGGAGCTACAGCTCTTAGGAGAAAAAGGCCACTTCAGTACATTCCTGCAAAGCTCGCCCATGTACACATTTGAAAATTCTTATACACACATCTTAGTTTCCAGTCTAAACAGGATGAAGAGTCCACTCATGGGGTTCCAGATTTTCCTTAGAGCTCTGACAGCTGACTGTGTGTGCAACAACCCCAGCCCTCTGTCCTGGGCTCTTTTGTCCTTCAGCATCCCCTGGGAGCCTACCAGGTCCCCAGAGGAGCTTTGCTTTGCCCTGCTGCTGTCCCAGGACATTTTCCATTTGTCTTCCCCATTTCCCTTAGATTTCCTGTCACACATGAATGCCTACTGCTAGCATCTGTGAATGGCCACAACAGAGTTATGAGTTATGAACTGTTTCCAAATAAAGAGTAGTTCTGGTACTGTTTTAGGTGGGGGACCTTATGTACCTGGGTTGGTTATCTGGAGGTGATCTCTGCTTTTTATGGCAAATGTCTCTGCAGTTCCTGAAGTTTTCAATAACCCATGGCCTTGCTCAGTGATTTAAAACATTTATTTCTAAGTATCAAGACTCTCATGCAGTATATTTTATCTAATATCACAATATTAACTTTTTCATTGTTGAAACACCTCTTTTTCAGATTACCTATTTCAGTCTCTGGTATTATAATAAGCAGAATCAGCGCAGATGGGTAGATTTGGACAAGCCTCTGAAAAAGCAGCTGGACAAATATGCCTTGGAGCCAACTGTGTATTTTGGAGTAGTGTTCTATGTGCCTACTGTTTCTCAGCTTCAGCAGGAGATTACCAGGTAGACTTCATAGTATAAACTTCTGTGTGTTTATAAATTTGCTCTCAACATTCTGAAATGTATAGTTTATTTAAAAGTCATCTTCTTTCCACTCCCCTACCTTTATAGAAATGAAAACTATTTTAGGCAGAATTTATGTTCAAACTGTATTCTAATTTATCTTTGGAATAATTAAAATGTGATAAACTAAGCAAGCAAGTAACTATTTTGTGATCTTAGGAATCTGCTCAAACCTGTTTTAAGTAACAGGCGTACCTGCATGGTCAGTCTTTTAATTGTTTTAGTCCCTTCATTGACTTTTAAATTTGTTCTGAATTTGCTTGACTTTTAAATTTGTTTCTTTGGTTTTTTGTTTTGAAGATCCATATGTTGTTTTCATGGATATCTGTCTGGAACAAAGCACTTGCAGATTTTATTAATCTATGCTTTCTTTGTTTTGCTTTCAGTACTTTCTGTTCTTATCTTACAGTACATTGGCACTACAGGCTACTTTGGCTTGTGATTTCATTTTTTTTTTTTTTTTTGCATAGGCATATCAATGAGCCATAAATATGGATGTTAGTATGTTAGTTCTGGTGTTATGTATATGTTTCTACTGTGAAACTGGGCAACATCACGTAATTGTTGCTGGCTGCAGGGGGAAAAGTAAAATTGAGCATATATATATACTAGCCAGTTATTCCTATGGGCCTGTACATTGGCTGCTAATGGTTTAATGTGTACAGTTCTGATTTAATGATTATTTTTAATTGGCAATTGGGTACAAAACCCATAGCTGGATTACAAACATGTATTGTTATTTCAAAAATATGTGCTTGTGTTAACTAACCCATTTACGCTGAAACTTTAAGTTGGCCCTGCTTTGAGTGAGGAGTTGAAGCAGATGATCACTCAGAGGTCCTTTTCATCTTAATTTATTCTGTGGTTACATGGAACTGTCTCTGTTCCTGAAATACCCTGCCAGACACCTTTCCTGCCAATTGTGATGTGAAAGCTTTTCAGGGTCACCAGCTGCAGATCTCTTGGTGCAGACACTGGTGCTGTTGTTACAACTCAGTCCTTCACAGATTTAGTTTTTGGGTTTATGTGTAATTTTTGAAGGTTTTTTTTTTTTTTCAACTCAAAACTTTTGTGCTATATCTTGGCAATTTTAGTGGCTCAAAAATCTCTGGTTCAGATTCTGTGTTAGTTTACTAGAATACATTAGAGTAAGATCGAGGTGTTGCATTGGGAAGCTAAATTACCTGAAAAACCTTAAATAGTCTTCTCTGGTATTTATTTAAAGAATATGGTGTTTATACTAGAGCTTTAACAAAAATTTGGCAGTGTGCTACCTGGTAGAAAGCAGGAATTTATGTGCCAGTCTTATGTTTGTGTCTTAGAGGATGGTACTTTGATAGTAAGAGTCTAGGTTAGTCTCAGAAATCTGTGGATTTTTTCATGCCTGTTTGATATAAATGAGATTGAACATGTTCAAGCAAATTGTATGTTTAATGTACACCAGGAAATGTTATAGCTAAAAAGAGATGTGCTCTGTTGAGGTGGTGTTAATAGCAGTTCTATGGAAAGAGCTTACCTTCTGCTTCTTGACTGGGAAGACTCATTCCCCAAATGCCTTGGACTTTTTCTTTTCCATTTTTTGAAGGTCTGAGTTTAGTTCCAGCTGTTCTTGGGTGTGTTGTGTACTGTCATATGATATACTGGGGTTTTGTAGTAGGATGCCCAAGAGTCTAAACAATATTTATAAATTATCAGTGTATTTAACAGGGCAGTAACAGTGATGGAAGAGAGCTATCCATATCATGAATAAAATTTATGTGGCATTTACATGACTTTTCTAATCACTGAATGAATTACAGCACATACTTAATATGAGGAAGTTTTAAAAACTAGACTTATAGAGGACAAATGTCCTCTGTGTCCAAGTTGGTGTAGCTGTACTGGCAATTTTGAGGTGTTTTGGTCTCCAGATAGAAAGTTCTGTGGGTGGCTGAAAGAGGCAGAAAAAATATGGCATATAGTGGCTCAGACTGTGGACAAACAGTAGAGGTAGTAGTGGTTGCATGTACAAGAGATGATGCAGGAGAAGCATAGATTAAAAGAAAAAAAAAGTGCCTTGAAAGTGAGAACAAAATGTACTCAGGAATTGTAATGCAGAAATGAAAATCCCTACTGGGACTGAGGGAATGTTAGATCTATTGGAAGAGAATGCAGCAACCCAGCAGCAGTTTACTGAATGTTGTAAAGAGACAATAACAAAAATTTTAAGGAAGGAAGAGGAAAAAAAAAAAAAGAGAAGAGGGTTTGGTAGTAGATAGAAATTGTAGAGGTTCTTTAAGATCACTGATTCTAGAATGATATATGGAAGTTAAAGGAGGCAGGTGTTTGAAAAGGCCTTGAAGCAGTGAGTCCAAAAGATGAGGAAGACTACCCTCTACTCAAAGTGGGCAATGCAGAGATGAATAGGAAATGCAGGCATAGTCTTCTACTCTCTCTTAAAAATTAAGAAGCCCATGTTAGCTTTTTCTTTTCCCTGTAGGTATCAGTATTACTTGCAATTAAAGAAAGATATCTTGGAAGGCAACATTCCTTGCACAGTGGAACAAGCAATACATCTGGCTGGTTTGGCAGTTCAGGGTAAGTAAGAAATTTTACCATCTAGCTAATGTTACATTAGAAACTTTGGTGATATATTTTCTCTTTCCTGTTTTCTTGATGTCACTCAAGAGGCCCAATTCATTAAGTTATGAAAGGGGTTTGCTCCTTAGGACTTTGCCATATGGACTGAGGAGATCAGCAGTTGGATCAGTGGCCCTGAACTTCTCTGCAGTCCTCAGAGGTGTACCTGGGCATCTAACACGTAGTTTCAGGAGCTGGATTTGAATTAGACATTGGAGTTCCATTTAGGCTTCAGTTGTCTGCCTAAATGAACAAACCCTTCCTCTGTTTCTATTAATGAAGGCTCTTTATTCTAACATATTTTCATAAATAAGCAACTTTGAATGTACTTGTATTTCTACTTTTTATCCAAAATTTCCTATCACATAGGATTATTTCAAGTTAGTGTGCAAGACTGTTAGCAGTTCTTGTGTTCAAATCACTCCTGAAAACGCATTTCATGCAGTGATACCTGTATGAAAAGGCAGCTTCATTTTTCCTGGCCTGGGTCAGATGGGATGGAGTCTACACCAGTCCTGAGGGTGTCTGCACTGATCATGTTTGTGTTCCTTGCAACGTGTTTTTGTCTGATACTGAATCTCCCAAAAGTTTGTAATGGCCACAGCTGTGTTTAGTGTGTTTGTATACTGTTATTTGTATATCATTCACAGTGAATGCCACTTCAGTACATCTAACAGTAATTGTAAAACTGCCAAAATTGAACAGGACTTAAAATCACTGGCAGTATATACAACATATATACAAAGATTTTTTAAAAAATTTATTTAGTTATATGCATTGGTTGCATCTCAATAAAGATGGTGATTATGTTTTCTTGAAAATGTGGTTACCAGTGGAGTAGGAGAAATTGTTTTAATACTTTGTTTATATAACAGTGAATCTGTTTAATCCAAGCCAGGTTCTAATGGCCTTCAACTGAAAAAATCTTGCTGTGTTATTTGTATCTATTTGGACAATGTAAACATCTCTCTGCTCAAGTGAGTTGTTTATAGAAGTCTTTCAATATAACCCTCTTTCCAGATGGAAAATATTCATCCTTTTATCTTTCACCTTCATTTCTTACTCCTGTATAAGAGATGAACTGTGTATGTTGATAACACAGGGAAAAAATACCTCAGAAAAAGCACAGGTTCTAAATTGATATGCTTCCATTACTGAAGTAGTTTATACCAGATAGGTTTAGTAATTTTAGCTGGTGAATGAGCAGAAGCAGTGCTTGCTGTTTCAAGAATGATCTGTATTTAAAATCTGTACAATAGGTTAATTCTAAACACTGCTTTAATTCAAGAGTTGTGTGGTTGTAGTGTGTCAGAGGTGCTCCCTTTTCATAGAAGGAGCTTCCAAATTAATTGTTTTATCATTTCTTCTCAATCCACAAGGAGTGTTACCAATCATTCTGAACAAGGTAAAAAGATGGGAGTTTTTTGACCTTTTCTCTTTATAAACATTATTGGTTGGTTTGTTCTGTTGTTTTGCTTTATGATTACAGTTCAGTGGAATGGAGGTTTGCTACTTGGAGGTCCTGCTGCAATTAGTTGGGTTTTGAATAATTTTGTTAAAAGTGTTTGAATCCAAGACTTCTTTTTTTTTTTTAGCGGATTTTGGAGACTATGATCAGTATGAATCTCAGGAGTTTCTACAACGATTTGCTTTATTTCCAGTGGTAAGTACTTTCTTTAAATTGGTGCCTTTAAATTACTAAATTGGCAAATTTAAATCCTTCTTAAAATTGGTAAATGCAGATAATTTTTAGGAAACCTCCATGATCCATTTTTCTTACTGCTCCCTGGGCTGTCAAATTTAAGTAAAGGTTTTCTTTGAGATTGGAGTGAGATATGACACCTTATATTACACAGAAACAAAGATGTAGTAAGATTTTTTCAATTTTATTTTATATTACACTGAAAAGAAGGTTAAGGTACAAATGGGAGAGAGAGTAAAACCACTTCAAAACAGTGCTTATGCTTTTGGGGTATACTTGTGCATATTACAGCATCTAAGCTCCAAGGCTAGAGTCAAGGGCTGATTTACACGTGTAAAGAAACTATAACCATTTGATTTTGTAGAATTTTTTTGCATTTCATTCCACAAATGCTATTTTATCTTAAGGGTTGGCTACAAGAAGAAAAAATATTGGAAGAAGCAACACAGAAAGTTGCCTTGCTACATCAGAAGTACAGGTAACATATCTAAAGCTCTTCAATGCTTAATTTCAGTCTTCAGTAGCTTCTGTAGCTCAGAAAGCTGGGAATCTTGAAATGCAGTTGGACTAATTTCACTTCCCATTTGAATGAGTTTTTTCTCTGATACATCTGTATTAAAGCTACAAGAGCTTCTGCTGAATGAAAATGACACAGGGAACAGAATATTTAGTAAAATAAATTAGAGGATTCAGCTTGAAAAGAATACGGGACACAATTAAATAGGTGTGACTTCACCTGTATCATGTTTCTGACTCTTGTTCATGTGAATTTCTGACCCCAGTAAGAATATTTCTTGATAAACAACATTGGGAAGTATTAAAGGCAGGAGAAATGCAGAGACAGTAACTGTGCCAGAATGCACAGTTATGATCTTAGGTAGAAGGGAGCTAAGGTGCAATAGTCCAGGACAAAAGAAAGTTGTGTTGTCTGTATCAGTTCATTAGTGAAAAATGTTTGTGACTATGTGAGTAATACTGAATATTTTCCCTTGAATTGTTTTAAAACAACAATTTGAAAATTGCAGTTGCACTTATGTTTAAAAGGCACTTGTAACAAGATTGCCTGGCTCAGGTTCAGCAAAGAAAACTTAATATTCATGACGTTAGGAAAAAGTGAAGAAATTTGGAGATTTTTGATTGAAAAAGTATTGAGATACATAACAATGAGCGTGACAGGACTTTTTCAAGTAGAAATTATATATTTTATGAGGTAACTGAGGTATGTTGGAGGGTAGGTAAACACAAGCTTTTAAGCCCTTTGATACTACTGCAAGTCTGTGAGAAAGCTGTCTTTGTCAGTTGGACTAATTATAAAGAATTCTACCTTTAACTACAGATCTTGTCCTCATGCTTTCAAAGTATTACAGTAAAATAGCCAGCATTTAGAAGATGAAACTGTCTTTTCTGAAATGTAAAGTGCCAGACTTCCTCTTTTCCCTATAGCAATGTAGAAGACATTCATGTCTTGAACATGTGTGCCCCGGTAAAGTGAGGAAACATGGATACAGTGCTGGATTTGATCAAGAATGTGATAATTGTCTGCCATTAGTAGAGATGGTAATATTCACTAGTAGTCTTTGTTGCCATTTATCCCTAAAGGTGCCAGAGAGAAAGAAGTTATTAGAATTGAAGTGTTGATTCTGAGGCTGAGCCAAATGCATCAGCCATTGGTACAGACAGAAATAGCACGATTTGATGGTTGCCTGGATGTCCTGGGGATGCTTTTCGAGCTTTGACAGTGTCCTTCAGAGTAAAAAAAGATTATTTTTTCTTAGTGGCAGCATTAGCTGATTGTTGTTTTATTTGTAGAGGCCTTACTCCTCCTGATGCAGAAATGTTATATATGCAAGAAGTGGAAAGAATGGAGGGCTATGGTGAAGAGACCTATCCTGCCAAGGTAAATGAGGTTTTGATCTTTGTCTAATTGCCCTTTTCTCCCTGTTTAGAGTCGTTACTTCCTGACAAAAGTAAATGAAACACAATCCCCAAACCACCCATAATTTTCTGCTTCAGAATTAATAAAAGCAGTTGTTTCTTAGGTCACTTTGCTTTTGAAGACTTTTTTCTCTACTTGCATAATTCTTTTTGCAACTTTTTACAGGACAGCCAAGGAAGTGACATATTCATTGGAGCGTGTCTTGATGGTATCTTTGTGAAACACAAAAATGGTCGTCCTCCTGTTGTATTTAGGTTAGTATTGTTCTTTCATAAAATATCTTAGTGAATTTCACATTTTAAGTCTGTTTCTCACAAGCATCAATGACTGTTAGATATGATGTGTATTTATGCATTTGATAAACCTGTTCATAGTCTTGTAGTCATCATGCTACAGTGAATACTGAAGCCAGTGAGAATTTCTCAATGCAGTAACTGCAAAATGAATCTCTTTAAGACAGATTAATTCTAAGACCTGAATATTTAATATACAGTTACCTTGCAAAATATTTAATTGAATCAAAAAGGAGAAATTCTCTGCACTGAGGGCATCTTAAATCCTGAGATTGTCACATCAATTCATATACAAATATTCATTTGTGAAATTGCCCAGAAGTTCTTTTCATATATTATATGTGGAGAGTTATACGATAATGTTTTATTCTTTTGGATTCATACATTGTTTTAGTTTATTATTGAATGTTCTTATAAATTGTAGACAGAGCTCTGACTTACCTAAACACTTAAAATTCAGTCTTCACATAAAATGGCTTCCCACTGACTCTGATTTGTTGCTTGGGCATCTTTGGGCAGAATTCAGAATAAATTGGAAAAAGAAATTGAGATTTTTTATAAAATGAGTCTCAACAATTTAGTTTTTATTAAAGCAAGAAAGGATTTATTCCTAGTGAACTTTATCTTCTAAGATTGAATTTTTGACTGAATATGAACAGAAATCTTGAAATCCTATGGTCCAGCAGTTGCTGAAACTTCGCTACTGGTGATTTTCTGGGATTAGAGGAAGTAGGCAGCTTTGCTTCTTTCTGTCAGTAGTTTTGTTTAGCAGGATTTAGAAATTCACAACTCTTAAATGTCCTTCAGAAGAATTTCTGTCTCAGCTGTGATAGGAAAGCTGATGCTGCGCTCTTTTTAATTGTCTGCTCTGCTTTCCTACAGCATTAAGCAACAATTGTACTTACCAAATGCACAGGGAGAGGAATAAAGCTTTGTGCATGCATTTCACATAAATTCTCAAGGAATTGTGCATGCAGTGTCTGTAAACATGACAAAAATTTGCACATTCGGAAGCATCAGAAAGTATTTATTTTCCAATTTCAGGATCCACTTTTCTGCTTTTTGGCTTGTTAGCTGCATGACTGTGGGCAATTCCATCATGGGTAGCAATATCATGTTATTTGGGTGGCAATAAAGCACAGACAAATGACTCATTAGTGTGATTTACAAAGACTGGATTATGCTGGTAATTTCATAGTTGTTCCCACAAAGGCTTATGAACCAAGGCCTTAAATTTGAGGGATTTTTGTTCTACATCAGAATGGAGACATTAATGTTTCTCTACCTCGTCTATACATGAGGCAATAGCTATGGAAAATGCCAACAGACACCTCTGTGTAATGAAAATGAGAGTCATATAAACACCTTTAGAGACAGCCCTATATGCAGGTCATGCTTTTTCAATGTGTTTGTTTACTGCAGAATATTATTTTAATAAATCTATGATACAGACTTTATTTACACTAACATAATACTAATGGTTCAAGTTAAATTTGCATTTAAAAAGAAGAAGAATAAATATATTTCATGCAATCTAAATTTTTTTCATCTGTCAATGGGTAAGAGTTCTAGAAAATATCCATAATAATGCCTTAAAGGCTTTGTTTAGTGGAGGTTTGATTTTTTTCTCCCTGGAATGTAGGGTTTGCTTTCAAGCAGATTGGACATTACAATTTACTGATGACTAAATTTGTCTAAATTAGATTTTTTTTGCAATAATTGGAAGAATTTCAAATGGAAGACAAGTAATAATCTTACTCTACATATTTACATCTTACCAAGAGTTAGTCACATACATATTTTCTTTTCAGCAGCCGTTAATGGTATGGAAATGATGGTCTGCAACTTGTTCAGATAGATTAATGAGCTTTTTCACAGAATCATAAAATAGTATTTAACAAAATCATAGACTTATAGCAAATAGTGTCTTGAGAGGGACCCATGAGGACCATGGAGTTCAGCTCCTGGCCCTGCACAGGACACCCCAGGAATCACACCCTGTGTCTGAGAGCATTGCCCAAACACTTCTTGAACTCTGTCAGGCTGGTGCTGTGACCATTTCCCTGGGGAGCCTGTTCAGTGCCCAACCACTCTCTGGGTGAAGAACTTTTTCCTGATGTCCAACCCAAACCTCCCCTGACTCAGCTTCAGGGCATTCCCTCACTCCAGTCACTGGTCACAGGATGGAGGAGATCAGTGTCTGCCCCTCCTTTTCCCCTCTCCTTTATCCACGTTCTTGATGGTAGTTCTGGTTTGCAGTTGCATTTTTTGAGGTTTGAAAATCAGAGCTTGTCCAGTCATATCCTGTGCCCTTTGTCTGCAGGTGGCATGATATTGCCAACATGTCCCACAATAAATCCTTTTTCGCATTAGAACTGGCAAACAAAGAAGAGACAATTCAGTTCCAAACTGTGAGTACATTTTTATTTTTTTCTCTAAGTTATCATTAAAGAAAAACAAAATTAAGACTGATGATTTAAAACCTACTATCTATATATTTAGCAGCTTTGAGCTGTATGAGTGAGTCAAATGTAATAACACTGTCTTTGGCCAGCTTTCCATGGGAAAGCATTAAAAATTTGATTTTTTATGTTCAGTACATTGAAATGTCCGGTTATGTGGTCATAAAAAATGTTCATCCATTCCAGCAAAATTTCTGGCATGCTTTTTTGACTTGAGTCAGTGGCAATTAAAGATAAATATAGCCTTAGAGCTTTACTGGAGTGGGCCATGGCATTCCTTGCAGAATTCATTTTATTCAGCATCTACCAGCTGCTTTTGTCAAAAGGCAGCTGTTGACAATCTTATGGCAACCTAAACTATAAGTTGTATTAGTGTTACAGCTAATAAGTATCTTGAACAAAAGGCTTCTACTTTCAAATTTCATAAGTCTAGGAAAATTATTAGACTTGAGTGTATATTTGGTTCTGCAAAGTAGGGTTTTAGGGAAAACCTGGTGACATTAATAAAGTTACATTAAAATTAAGTTGGCCAATGGTAATTTAATCTTAAAAAATTCAGTGGCTTTTCTGAAAGCAAGTAAAGGGTATGAATGTTTGACTTAATGCAAATATTGGGTTTTGTTTTTTTGGCAGGAAGATATGGAAACAGCAAAATATGTGTGGAGGATGTGTGTGGCTAGACACAAATTTTACAGACTAAATAAATGCAGCCTGTAAGTAGAGTACATTAGCAGAACTCTTGATGCCCTTGCAGCTTTCATTGGGAAGTGAAATCTCCCACTCCCTCTGTAAAGTCTTTACTGTCCTTTTTAGATTACTTGGGTTCATTTTCTTAATATTTTTTGAGAAAATAGTTCCCACCAGTTTTTGAAATACATCGTGATTTATAACAGAAGACAATATTAAGTGCTGAAATCTCACCATAAGTAATAATGTTTGGCCTTTGCTTCTGGATCACAGTGCTGTGAGAGACTTCAGTTGCTTTGGGGTCTAATATTGCTGTGGCTTGTGAGCTGCTGGAAGCAGCAGGGTTTTGGCCTGTGTTTGGGTGAGCTGCTCTGAAAGGACACGAGAGGCTTTAAAAGGGCGGGCAGTGTATGTGAAGCACTCCTGAAATGTGCTGGATTGACAGCTCAGAGGTATGTGGTTCTTTAGATATCCATGGAATCTGGATAGCTCAAGTAGCACCAGTGCAAAGCAAATTTAATACAATTCATCAAATTAAATTTAAATGGGCTGGCTGCCAACTTGTAAATCAATGGCTGGAATTTGAGCTACTTTACTGGAGCAGCTTTCCTTCAGTTTAGTTTCTTCAGTTAAAGAGTAGAGAATTAGACACAGTGAACATTCTATCACTGGAAAAGCATGGTTTCCATATGTTTCACTCCTCTTCATACATGGAAAGATAGATATTTGATATCTGCTGAGGCCAGTGGAAAGATAATCAAGTATAATGCTAATTTATTTGAGAAGTAACATAAATTTGAAATAGAGTAAACCTCATACCTCAAAGCTTGTAAACTTGTCTTTTGAGAGTGATAAGAAGCATTGGTAGAAGTAGTGTGTTCATGGGACTTGTGCATTTCTATCTAAATAATGTCAGATCTGTAGTTCTATATTAAATGTCTGTCTCTAGGATTACTTATTGTAACCACAATGTGATTTTATGTCAGGTTAAGTCCTCAAAAAAACTTTTCTGGTCATTTCTTCTCTTAAGATTTCTTGTCATCTGGTCCTTAGCTGAAAACTGTCTTTTGCATGCCTGTATCATCTTCAGGGGTTTTTTTCTAAATCTGTACATACCTTGTCTTTAGAGACTCCTTGGACTCTCCACCTGAGGAGGGCTCTCAGAAATCTTCCCTCATTCTTTCCCTTCCACGCTTTCCAATCCTTTCTCGTCCTTCACTTCCCAAAGGGTGAGCTTAAAAACATCTTTCTCACTAAAAAATACCTGTCCCTGCATTTGTATCATGCTGTCTTTTGACCTGTCTTGCTATGAGATGCAGAGCACAGGGTGGGGGAAAAGGAACCTAAGACTTCTAAACTTTATGTCCTGGAGCCAATCCAACAAATTATGAAAATTCATTCCATTAACATCAATGTTAGAACATACAAATGCTAATGCATTATAGTAATGATTTACAGATGCTGTAACATCTGTAATGTTACAGTCCCCAAACAGTTTTATGTCTGACTTTTAGAACAGGCAACTTGTAGAACAGGAGATTAACTGAGATATTTTTGATCTTGGGTTTTTGATTTTGCTTTCTGATGGTGGCTAATACACAGAGCTCTTTCCTATTGAGGCTTGCGTGGAAGACCAACACATGCCTGGCTCCCAAAAATGTGATTTAAGAGTGATTTTTAATTGAATTTGGGAGTGCTTTCTAATTTTTGAAATAGGTCTTGCTATTGTTAAGAATAATTTCTTATCATTAAATTCCTTCTGTAGACAAACTCAGCCAGTTACAGTGAATCCTGTTAGAAGACGATCTTCATCCAGGATGTCCATGGTAAGGAAAACAAACAGATTTATGTTTGCATTTTTATGGATTTCAGTTGACTTTGAGTCAAATATTACTTCCCCTCAGAGAAATGAAATTAGCAGTGAAAAAGATGAGTCTAGTATGTGAGATACTGTTTCTGACTTGTAGGAGGAGCTGCTATGTAATATCTAAATAGTGAAATTAAAACAATTGCAATGAAAAATATTTTAAACACTTCTGGTTTCAGTTTGAACAATGTCTCTAGGAGACTCTCCTAGATGTCAGATGGCAAGATACAGTCTTGGTTTAGTGCAGTGTAATTTTGAGGTTTTGTTCCTAGTTTTTAAATTATTTTTTGTATGACCTCAAAGGAGAAACTTACATCGTGGATTTAGAGAAATGGTTTAAGACTAAGGCTTTGTATGTGTTTATTTGTAGTATATAATATAATATAATATAATATAATATAATATAATATAATATAATATAATATAATATAATATAATATAAGCATTATTACTATGTGTATAGTATTATATATAATATTATACATGTATATACAGTGGTATACATTACGTATTAAAAAAAATTTCAATAATTCTTTTAAAAATGAATAATCAGTTTTTAAGTAACAGTAAGATATTTGCTTTCTTAGCCTAAGCCTCAGCCTTATATGATGGCTCCACCACCTCAGCTGCATTACAATGGTCATTACAGTGAACCATATGCAACTTCCCAAGGTAAGTTCATTAAGTCCATGGCCACACCACACAATTTTAGATGGTAAAAACTTAATTTATATGTGTAGCTACTTTAGCTATGGCTGAATAAATTAATAGGTGAACATGGGGTAGGTTTGTACTAGAATAGTCATTGAGGTGCTTGCTGCTACCCTAGACATGTAGGCTAATGTGAAATACAGTCATGGAATCACAGAATCACATAAACAATCACAGAATGGTTTAGGCTGGAAAGGACCTTTAGGATCACCAAGTCCAGCCATCAACACAGCACTCTCAAATCCATCACTAAACCAGGTCCCCAGGTGCCACATCTGCAGGTCTGTTAAATACCTCCAGGGATGGTGACTCCACCTCTTCCCTGGACAAGTCTGTTCCAATGCTTCACCACTCTTTCCAAGAAGAAATTTCGTAATATCCCATCTAAACCTCCCCTGATGCAACTTCCCTGAGGCCATTCTTCTTGTTCTGCCGCTTGTTACCTGGGAGGACACAAACACACCTCAGTGCAGCCTCCTTTCAGATAGCTGTAGAGAGCAGTAAGGTTCTCCCTGAGCCTCTTTTACTCCAGGCCAAACACCCAGAGTTTCCTCCACTGTTCCTCCTCCACGTGCTCTCCTGTGGGAGATGAGCAGTTCTGGTTAGGTTAGCACGTGCAGCAATTGTAGACTGAGGTGTCGTGTGTGAGTTTAAGCTGACCATCGCCTTTTTTGGTCCATGTATCAAACTGGTATGTTAAGGCATTGTGAGATCCTTGTCAATATTGGTCTTAATAGCTGCAAAGAGATTGCCCCAAGACAATTCACACAACTAAAAAAAAAATTAAAAAAATTAAATCCAGAATGCAGGAAGAGAGACATTTGGCTAAGTTTGTTAGACTACAAGGTATTGAGGAATTCAAAGGCTAAAGAAGTTTGCAGCTTATGGACTTGGTATATATTTGATTGAAACAAAGAAAGAAGAAACCCCAAGCAAACCCTAATATTCTCAAGCAATTTAGACTCCTTATCTTAGCACTTTACAGTGGAGTCATGGCTGCTTGCTCTCATTATTTTGATTGTTACACATTGTGTCTTTAATTAACAAAGTTGCTGCCCTGAAGGGCTGAATCTAATCTGTTGCAAAATCTCCTCAACTTTGATAGGAACTTTCCAGATCTACAAATCTGCTGGATAAATAGTACTCTAAAAGGCCAGCTCACTGGGAAGGGAATAAGCAGATTTTCTATCAAAAGAGTTACACAGATCTAAATGAAATACAGGTATTCAGCTACATTCAGAATGTAACTGAATTCTTTGCAATTTAGTGTTGTAAGTATTGCTGGGTACTCGCTACTACAAGTGTCCTATTTTTGAACATTTTTTAATAAAACAATTTTTGATTTTCAGCAAATTCATTAACATAATTGTGGCAATTATTTTGGTGAACTCAAACACTTAAATCATGAAGGCATCTACAGCGATGACTGAATCTGAAGACTGGCAAATTGTACATCCAATGAAGTAGTAATTAAAATTATTAAATATGTCTTGGACGTATAAACTGGGGGAACATTTTCTTTACAGTGTAGGTGTATATATATATATATGTGAACAATATATGGTGGTAGTTTAAACTGCCTTCAAAATTTCTGGAGAAAAGTTAATTTTGGTTTTTTTGAGGTCTTGTGCTATACCTACATACATCCTGAAGGAGTACAAGAGAGAAGAGCAAGGGGTTTTGTCTGCTTGTTTTGGGCTGTTTTTAGGGTTTTGGTGGTATTTTTGTTTTGGCTTGGTTTTTTGTTGTGGTTTTTTTTTTCCTTTATTTCTTTCTTTGCTGTTCAAACTGAGTACATTAGTGCAAATCCTAGTGTAGACATTAATTTTTTCAGTGGTGTGGCTTAAGATTGATATGAACTTTGTTTGTTTTGGACTTAAACTTAGGAAACCTATCCTAAAGAGAGGAAAGTAATTCATAAACAGATGGTGTTTTCCCATAGGGATTTACATGATTGAAATAAATATAATATGTTATTCTGGTGTATATACCTTGGGTATCAACAACAACAAAAAAGCTGGGATTTTGGTTTGGGTTTTTTTCCTTCCCATTTCAATACATAGCTAAAAATAACTGAGGTTTTAAAAATCTCAAGCATTGCCTTAGCTACATCTTTATAGCAGATAACTTTGTTTGATATCCTGGACATAAAGATTGTTGTTACACTTTGCTTTCAGATAACCTCTTTGTGAGCAATCAGAACGGATACTACTGTCACTCTCAGACTAGCTTGGATAGAGCCCCTCACGACTACAGCGGTCGGATCCGCAACGGGAGTGTCTATAGTGCACACAGCACAAACTCCTTGAACAATCCACAGCATTACTTGCAGCCATCCCCCATGTCCTCTAACCCAAGCATTACTGGAAGTGATGTGCTCAGAACTGACTATGTCCCATCACACAGACACAGTGCACTAATACCACCTTCTTACCGTCCCACGCCGGACTATGAGACTGTGATGAGACAGCTCAACAGGGGGATGGTGCACACAGACAGGCAGAGTCATTCAATGAGAAATCTTAACATCAGCAACACATATGCTTACAGCAGGCCCGATGCCTTAGTTTACAGTCAGCCTGAAATTCGAGAGCACGCCCACTTTGCTGCCCCACAGTCTAACCATTATCCATTTAACCTGAACTACAGCTTCCATAGCCAATCCCCCTACCCCTATCCTGCTGAAAAGCGCCCAGTTGTTGGGGCAGTCAGTGTGCCTGAGCTGACAAATGTGCAGCTCCAGTCTCAGGATTACCCAGCACCCAACATAATGAAGACCCAAGTCTATCGCCCGCCTCCGCCGTACCCGTACCCCAGGCCTGCCAACAGCACTCCAGACCTTTCCCGGCACATCTACATCAGCAGCAGCAACCCGGATCTCATCACCAGACGAGTGCACCACTCTGTGCAGACGTTCCAGGAGGACAGCCTGCCTGTGGCTCATTCCCTTCAGGAGGTCAGTGAACCTCTGACATCGGCACGCCACGCTCAGCTGCAGAAAAGGAACAGTATTGAAATAGCTGGCTTGACTCCCAGCTTTGAAGGAATGAGAATTAAAGAGAGGACCATGTCAGCTTCTGCAGCAGATGTGGCCCTTCCAAGAGTTATCTCAGAAGGATCACAGCCCAACATTCTGCTGGAGAGAACGAAGCAAAAAGAAGGTGAGCAAGAAGAATGTGTGAACTGTGATCACAAGAAAACCCTGTCAGATGCCACTATGCTGATTCACAGTAGTGAGGAAGAAGAAGAATTTGAAGAAGAGAATAAGGCCAATACAAGTCTTTCTCCTCTCCCTGAAGATCAAACACAACTTTCATCTGTTATGGGAGGTTATTCTCATGATTCAGTACTGAACTACCCTTATAGCTCTGTTGCTTCATCTGCTGGCCCTTTGCATATCCTTGAGCCTAAATTACACATCACAGAGGCAGAGAAGAGAATGAAAGATATGAGCCCTGTTCATTTACTAGTAGAAAGCCAGGTACAGAGAAGAGGGGAAGGACTGCTTACTCCATCTATGTCAGAATCTGATCTTACAACATCAGGCAGATACAGAGTAAGGAAAGATTCAATAAAGAAGAGACCCGTGTCCGATCTTTTGTCTGGGAAGAAGAATATTGTGGAAGGCCTTCCCCCTCTAGGTGTAAGTGGATACTATTTGTCTTGTTTTGAGTTGTCTGTAGCAGTTGATTGTTGTTTTTGTTTGAGGTTTGGGGTTCTTATAGTCAGTCTGAGATGCTTTTAAAACATTTGAATTAAAGCTACCTTAAGCTTGACCTTTGTATTTCTGTTTTCCTGGTTAACTTTGCTTAGCTGTCTTTTAGCCCCTTCTCTGCCATGTCTGAGTTTGTTTGCTTAGTCCACCCACACAAATCCAGCTGTGCAGTCTCCATCCATCTGAAAACCTAACTTGGCTAGGAACTTTAGAAGGAGCTAATTTAAAATCAGTTCTAGATCCCTGTTCTGCCCTACTTCTTATCTGGAGCAGAAGCAACTCTTTCTATTCAATTTTCTTATCTTTCTCTCACTGAAAAATGATATGTATCTGAAATGTTTACTTTTAAAATTTTGTTTACTTGCTTCTTCTGACCGAAGAGGGAACCTGACACCTTCAGGAATAAATTCTTTCCTTGCATTTTCTTCTTTACTTCATGCCTTCCTTTTTTCATATCCTCTCCCTTTTGCCTTCTCTTCAAGCTGTTTTTATCCCACTGAATGTATTTCTTGCTTGCCATATCTCTTTCTCCTACTCCAATCTTAGGACACCATAAATAGTGAAAAACTGCAAGTTTCACCTTTTCTGTAATTCCCACCTCATAGAAACATCAAGGTCTGTGTGGACTGCACAATTTCACTGGCACTCCTTAGTGCCCACTTTGCTTTAAAATTTTGTTCAGTTTTATGTAGTTTGTGGCAGATTTCAGATGCTAATAGAGGAAGACCATTTTATATTATTACTTTGCCTTTTAAATTTGATTGATACCTGAGTTAGTGTGAAATAGTTTTCTGCACAAGCTGGACTGCAGGGGAACAGCTATATAAATTGTACTGCTGTGGTAATAGCAGATATTGCAAAAACTAGCCTATCCAAAGCTATGTATTGAAATAGTTACTATTTGTTCTCCAAAATATACATTTTTTCAGACAGTAATGTGTCTACCAAAATCATATCCTGCTTTTCCTTTTGACAGTTACATAGATATGGCATGTTCCTGTCAACATTTAAATTACATTAATATCAGAATTTTTCATTTCAAGTGTTTGTAACCTAGTTTCTGCTTCAGAAACATTTAAGTGTTGTTGCATAATACAGAACATTACCTTTCTGTACTCACAATGGAGATGATATCCTATTACAAAACCAGCCCCAACCAACGCTTGCACATTTTGCTTTTCAATGAACTTTTATTGTTGTGTTTGTGTTCACTTCACTTTAAATGCAGTCTCATCCTGTTAGGTTGGTCTTCCTATTTCTTACCACCATTTAACTTTTGAAAGCATTATCATCCAAGCAGCACATGTGCTCGTATTTTCTGCGTATTTTTGTTAACACTTAAACTTAGCAATGGCAGGAATGATGAAGTTTCCTCTTATCCATTTTAAAAGAATAGTTTGAATTGATTCCTTCATAGAAATCCCCCTTTGATATTTTTCACCAAATAATGAATGGCAATTCTCTAATTTAGATTTGTGGCCCAGTCCAGGACTCAAATGTGTCTGCAGTTCTGTGTTCATGTTTTGTATGTCAAGTTTGTTGCAAACTTAGTAAAACATTTAACTATATCCAAATATCTGAAAGATATATGGTCATTGCCTGATTGTAGGGAAGAAAAGTGCCTGCAAACTGAATAGTCTAGTAAGGAATCATTGTTATGTATTTTTGGGTTTGGGAAATGTTCCCAGGTGTGTTCAAGAATGTTAAGTATCTGCAGTTGCCTCCTCACACCCTCAGTGGTGAGCTTTGTAGAGAACAATATTTGTTGTTCTCATGCAGTTTCATTAACCTGTCTGGAATGAAGACAGACCTGTGCTGTGTCCCTGGAGGAATGTGGTCCCACCACCCTAATCTCTCATTGCAGTGCTTATCAAAGAAAAAGGTCAGAGCTGTTCACAGAAGGGGCCAGAGAAGGATCTTTTGCTTAGCTGAACTCATCTGGTTTCTGCTTTATAACTTCATCAGATATTTAAGAGTATTTACAAGTTTTAGCTTTTCTTTTGCAGGGTATGAAAAAGAATAAAAATGATGCAAAAAAAATGGGGCCTCTGAAGCTAGCTGCCCTAAATGGACTGGCATTGACTAGGATGCCTCTGCCAGATGAGGGCAAGGAAGAATCAACGAGAGCAACAAATGATGAACGAGTATGTTGAAGTTTTTTAATGCTTGATTTACAATAGCAATTTTTCAAAATTACATGATTACGAATGGTACATTTTACTGACTGTAAAATGCTTCATATTAAGGCAACTCAAATGCTGAGAAGAGAAACAAAATAAAAAGATTCCAGGTTGACAAGTCATTGCTAGAAGTATTGGGTGTAACTCAGATTTTTCTTTAAAATGATAGTGATTCAATTGTAGTTTACCCTTTGAACATACAGGAAATGAATTAACTAGTACCTACTGATACATTTTTGTGCAATTCATTCTGCTTTCTCTCTTAATTTTGGGTTTTCCAGAGTGAAAAGGTGTGAATTTTAAAATTCTGAGTGTGAGATTGATTTTATTTGCAATTATTAGTAATTCATATGGTGTTTAGAGATTTGCAGTTGAGTAAGAGGTGTAGTTTTGCAGTTAAATTGCGTCCTCAGAATACAGCTTATGCGGATTGTATTTATCTGTTTTGTTCATGTAGACCCCAAAAAATATAGATAGAACTTGTTTGATGTGCTGAAATTTTAAACTCAGGAGAGGATGTCAGATCAATGAGAGGACATCAGGTTCTAGAATTTGAGGGTCATTCTTTAAGAAATATAAGACTCCATCAGCTTGTATCAGGATTAAAAAAATGTAAAAGTAAAAACTAGTAAAAAAAATGCTCAGCTTCATGCTATTGTCAGTTTAAATATGTGAGTTTAGCCTAAAGATAATAAATGAGTTTGTTCAGTTGATGTATTGTTGTGCAAATTGCATATGAGGGAAGTTTACACCTTCCTCTGTAACATTTGGCATACTTACTTGATATAAGACACTTCCATGACCTGATACCACAGAGCAGTTGCTCAGTAAGAATCTCGGGACATGTGACATAGATGAAATTTTCTGGCTGAAATCTTACATATTATTCCTCCTTATTGTTGGCAGAGCGATGCAGAAATTCCAGAAGTGTCTTATGATTTAGAAACAACTTGGTTTTGAAAGAATAAAGGGGAGGAGGGAGTAGTCTATTAAATAAAAAAGATTGAATTATACTATTAGAAAAAAATTCTGGGTTTATACTTTAACTGCAGCAAGTTTCTAAGGCAGCTTTCCTGCCTTAGAAACTTGCTGCAGTTAAAGTATAAATCCAGATATTTTTCTAATAGTTTTCCTCCATCCAAAAAATGAAGTTTTCTAATAGTTTTCCTCCATCCAAAAAACTAAGTTTGGAGGTTTTTTTATTATTATTTTTGTATTTATTATAAGGTTACAGGACACCTTTAAAATTATGTCACCTAGCTGCTATATTGAGCAGGTGAATCAAACGTATTTGAAGCAGTTTGCAGTATGGTATATCTGTCTGGTTGGTCAATTTTTTTCTCCCCACATGGGCTGTCTTTTCAGAAACCATGAAGTAATCTTTCCTTTACCAGCAGTATCCAAATAAAACTTTGTGACCTAGTGAAGTATTACAGGCTGCTTAGTAATTATTGAACAAAATTCCTGCTGGTTAGGGTTGCCTCTAATTTATTCTGGTATGCTTGTGGAAACACGAATAGCTGGAAAAGCCTTGCAGAAGTATGGAGGAGAAGAAAATAGGTCCATTTTACATTTCACGAGCTCTCTGTGTGAACAGGCTCCCCTCAGAGAGTGACCTTGCCTGGCTGTGTGCTGTGTTGCAGTGCAGAGCCCTGGAGCAGCGGCTGGAGCAGGGCATGGTGTTCACGGAGTACGAGCGCATCCAGAAGAAAAGGCTGCGGGATGGGGAGTGCTCCATCGCCCGCCTGCCCGAGAACGCCGAGAGGAACCGCTTCCAGGACGTCCTTCCCTACGATGACACCAGGGTGGAGCTGGTCCCAACCAAAGAAAACAACACGGGTTACATCAATGCATCCCATATCAAGGTGACAGAAATGCTCTCGGAGAAAAATTTCCCAGTTCACATGCAACTGAAAATGCATCTGCCAATCAGTTTTTGGTTTGGTGAAATCAGTGATAATCCCTCCATCTCTCTCTCTTTCTTGTCTTCTCCAGGGTTTCTTTGGGGAAAGCAGGAACCTGTTTTCCTAATCACCTAGAATAATAGAGGGTTAATTACTGGAGGGATCTTCTGCATTTTGGTTCTGTGTTGATTCGATCTACTGTTGCTTTTCTGTGTTCCCTCTCTGGGGATTGCTGCTAACAAGAGGCATCTCCATTCTGCCCATAGCTAAGGAGGCAAATAGGTTTAAAGCAAACTGGGATCCTCTGCAATGATTGTGATATTTTTGAGCTGCATTGTTTCTTCCTTTTCTGTACTCTCAGACTATCCACTATGAGCAGTAGGCTTGCTCCTAGCTTAAGCTTTTTTGGATGGTTAGAGCCAGAGCCAGGGGGAAACTGGCTTTTTCAAAGCCTTCAGCTGACCTTTTTCCCCATCCTTAACTCTTTAAGCTCTGTTTAAAAGACTTTGAAGGGTGTCTTCAAGAACCTTGAGGGCAGCTCATTTTTCAGTACATTTATCTGCTCTAAGTGCAACTACAGTTGTTTTTTATGAGAAGAGTTGAGATTGTCAAAGCAGCACTTGTGTTGCTGTCTTTTTTTAATAAACCTGTTTGTATACTGACATGGCATCATAGTTTCTCTGGTTCATTCACAAATGCTGAGCCTTCTCAAGCAAGATAATATTTTTTCAGGACATAACAACTAGTACAGTAATAATATTTACAGCACTAGAGTAGAAAGCTTCTCTAAACATGAATTTTCTAAAATACCTCGAATTCATGAAGGAGAAATACAATTTTGTTTTCTCAGTTTGACATGAAGCTTGTGATGTAAAATGCATTTATTTAGTTATGAACCTGTACTATTGTGGCTCTTCTGCATCTAATGTGACAAGATGCAGCTAAAAATGGGGCAGATATAACTCACAATGGGCTTTAGCTTCTGTGGTGTTGCAGTCTTTTTTCATTTTGTGCATCTTCAAATGGCTGATGTTAGAACTGGGGAGAGGGTTTTCAATAATTACTAATCTAATGTCTTTATTTTCACAGATCTCTGTTGGTGGCATAGAGTGGGATTACATTGCCACGCAGGGCCCTTTGCAAAACACATGTCAGGATTTCTGGCAGATGATCTGGGAACAAGGGATTGCCATCATAGCTATGGTGACAGCAGAGGAAGTGAGTATAAATTGAGTTGTGTTTCTCCCAGAAATTCCACAATGACTTTTTAATAATCTGTTAGAGGAGGGGGATGTTTTTTCCACCAACTAGATTGATTGAAGATAAGTTTCTAGTGACCCCTTTCTGTCTTGATTCCTTTGGCAGAAAAATGAATTTGCAAGCTCTTCCTGATGGAAAGTTGGTTTTCCCAGTAAGAGGCCATAACACATTAGTACTAAGTGGAGGAGAGATACAGTTGTTACTACAGGAACATCAGTTTTATGAATGTTCTTAGGTTTCTTGCTAAGCAAGTGTTCTGCTTTTAAGGAAAGTGGGAGAGAAAAAAGCTTCAGATACTGGCCACGTCTTGGTTCAAGACACAACACTGTGACATATGGAAGATTTAAGATTACCACGCGATTCCGCACCGACTCAGGCTGCTACGCAACGACAGGATTGAAGATTAAACATCTGCTCACAGGACAGGAGAGAACGGTTTGGCATCTGCAGTACACTGACTGGCCAGAGCATGGCTGTCCAGAAGATTTAAAGGGATTTTTATGTAAGTTGTATTTAATAGCTTTGTTTTGGGGTGTGGTTTGTGGTGTTCTATTAATACCTTCTGAAATGGCTGCATATATGAAGTAACTTTGGACAAGTAAGCCAAGCATTCCATTGTAAAAGGTTTCTTCACACCAGCAAGAGATACTGAATTATATTTTTTGCTGGAATATACCTGAAAATTTATTAAAGGTATATTCCTGCTCCTTCTGTCTAAAGCAAATAATTTACCATAAATCCTGTAGAATAAGACATAATTGCACCTCATACTACACATTTGAGTATGTGGCAGCAGTAGCAAGATGGCCATGAGCTCTCTTTAGTAGGAATAGGGGAACAGGGTGAGGAAATCCTTACAAAAGTTAGATGATCCTTATAGATCTGTATTGCTATAGTTGGGGTATGACTTCTGCATCTAATGTGACAAGAATGCAGCTAAAAATGGGTCAGATATAATTCACAATGGCCTCCTACTTCTGTGCTGGTGCAGTCTTTTTTTATTTTGTGCAGCTTCAAATGGCTGACGTTAGAACTGGGGAGAGGGTTTGCGATTTGCACAATGCATCCTTTTTCCGTGGCATGTCCATCGTTAAATTACTACTCTCTGGTGGTCACACAGCACTATAGCATAGCTTGTGTGGCTTCCTCTCCTAATGCCTGATTTGTGTCCCGTTGAACGCGGCAGCGTACCTGGAGGAGATCCAGTCGGTGCGGCGGCACACCAACAGCACGGCCGAGCCGCGCAGCGCCAACCCCCCGCTGCTGGTGCACTGCAGCGCGGGCGTGGGGCGCACCGGCGTGGTCATCCTGGCCGAGATCATGATCGCCTGCCTGGAACACAACGAGGTGAGCTCCTCTCCTTCCTGCTGCTTCAGATCATGTCAGGTGCTGGAAGGGGCAATAAATAACTTGCCTAGAATGTGTTATGGCTGTCCATGGCTGTCCATGGCTGTCCATACTGGCCGAGATCATGATCGCCTGCCTGGAACACAACGAGGTGAGCTCCTCTCCTTCCTGCTGCTTCAGATCATGTCAGGTGCTGGAAGGGGCAATAACCTGCCTAGAATGAGTTATGGCTGTTCATCAGAGCAGCTGTTGGGAGAGATCTTACAACTGTGCTTGAAATGGCTCTTGGGAATTCAACATAAGTTAATAATCTTCTAGAGCTGCCCACATGCACACCAGGCTCTGGAATGCTCATTTGGATTCTTGACTCCCTAAGATGTTGAGTCATTGAGTGGAGCAAGGTATACCCTATGCTACTGAGCATATTTCAGGATTTTATTTACTGCTCCTTGCCTGTATTAGAATTGATAATATTCAAGAACATACTTTTTAGCCAGTCTCTGTACTTGTTACTATTTTGTTCCTAAGTGCAGTGTATTTGCAGTATCAGTCTCAGTAGAGGACAATGTGGTAGTTTAATAGAATAAAATCAGTCCTATCAACTTCTAGCCTGAATTGGATGGCTGTAAAATGTTCATTAATAATATAATATGTCAACTGAAACTCAACATACTTTTTGTTTCATTGTGCATCCCTCTCCTAACACTCTAACAGGCTTTTTCAGCCATTAGATTTGTAAAGACCAATACCCCATGAGACAGGTAACTTTCCCACTCTACATATTTCCCAGTTGGTCAGTGGTGTAGTGCAGTCCATACTGCAGGCAGGGGCAATGAATTGTCAGAGCTGAAATCAGAACAGCTGACTCTGTCCTTAGGTCATCACAAAGCTACTGCTCTGAACCTCCTGCTGGGAGCAGACAAGCCAGTTTCCTTGCTCACCAGTCACTTGTAATGTTTTGTTCCCTTTTTCCAGATGCTGGACATCCCACGAGTGCTGGATATGTTGAGGCAGCAGAGGATGATGATGGTGCAGACTCTTTCGCAGTACACTTTCGTCTATGGAGTTCTCATTCAATTTCTCAAAAGCTCTAGACTCATCTAACCCCTGCCACTTCCTAAGAGACTCTGCAAGAATTTACAGAAAGAAAATTGGAATTGTCCAGACCTGTTCTCACTGGTGTTTTCCTCGTTGATGGATCCCAGAGTTACCATTTGGGGCTGCCATGGGACTGTTAAATGTGAGTCAGTGTAACAGTCCCTGCACAGCAGGATCTTTGCTGGACTGAATTCTTCCCATGTTCAGCCACAGTCACATTAAGGAATGATTTTATTTGTACTGCTCTGTAGTACTTGCACACATTCTTTAGAGTGGTGTTACTCTGAGCAAAATAAGTATTTTATGGAATGGAGGTATATAGTACAATTTTACTGACATTATGTTTTGAAACATAATTGTTGACTGTGCAAAAGCTAAAATCTGTAGGTGCAGATGGGGTCAGAAACCTGCCCCTTGGGAATGTCAAGGTCTTATGCAGTTTGATTCTGCTTTCAATTTTATATTTAGAACAATACATCTATATTTTTTAAAATGAACATTTGGTTTCCTCTGGCTTACTTAGCAAAATGAGCAGCTCTTAGACATTTTAAGTAGTTGCTTTAAGAACAGTTATTTTTATATTTGGGATTTTTAAATTTAAAAGAAAATGAACCACCACAACATAAAACTTTTAAACATAACAATATTTTCAGAGGAGAAGACTGACAATGTTTGAACCAACTTTTCAAAAATCATGCAGAAAGTCCTAGGGAAGTTGTTGGTATTTAGCTGTAGTGCCATTTGATATTGAAAGTGAAAGATAACAATAACTGTTGATAACTTTTATTTGAGAGGAGGTATTTCCTGCAAGAGGCAGGGGAAAAATATTTTAACTATCTGTGAGGTTATTGGAAACAAATGGATGAGAGAAAGTACATATTCAGTATTATTCATATATTTAGAGGACAGTTTGATTTTACTGGCTGAAATCAAAGTGGATGCAAATGTTTTAAGCACTTTTTTGCTCTGTTATTTATGTAGCTAAATATAGAGACTATAATCATGCATTGTTTCATTTGGTAATATACCATTACTAACCTGTTATTTTAAGAAGAGCTTTTTAAGTTGATGAAGTGGGAGAACCAAAATGGGAGTAAGAAGGTGCAGAGTGGTGAAGTGGAAATGATTGTCTGAAGTGTAATGGAGGAGGTGTGGCAGCTATGATTGCTGGTTTACACAGTGCAAAGATGACCTTAAAAAAAAAGTTAATGTTCCAGCCAAGAAAGCCAGTAAAGCACTGGGATTTTCTGTAGAATCCTCCAGATTATTTTATTAGTGCTAGAGCAAATTTTGCTAATGCTGTGCAGCGTTGCAATGAGGAACATTTGAGAAATTGCAGAAAAGAGCTCTTAGAGGAAGCACTGGGGAAGGGGGTAATTTAGTGGCTGTGTAAGTGGCTGAGTCAGTGGCTGGGCATGGACCTGAAGTAGGCAGGTACAGACTACTGGTCAAATGATGATATCCCTAAATAATCCTCTGTGGTTTTCAGTGGGGACAGTGTGGTTTTAGCTGCCTTTCCAAGTGTTTTGAGATGCTGAGTTGAAAATCCCTGTTCCAAATTGAGCTATATTTTTTTGATATCTGGTTTAATTAAAAACCCTGTATAGCAGACCAGTCTGCAGGCATGGTTAAGTGTACATTTCCCTTGATACCTACTTAGTGAAATGGAATGAAACTAAAAGTCAGGTTTATTAGTGCTGAAATTGTTATTTTTCTGAGCTCTAACAAGGGTTTAGAAACTATTAAACCTCCTTCAAAACAATAGTTGTGTCCCAGAACATGAATTAAGAATTATAAATAGGTTGCCCCAATTTCCTTTGTAATAAGCTTCTTCCATGAAGTTAAACATATGGTCCAAATGGCATTGAGATAATATATAATTTTGTACAAAAGATATTTCTTTTAGGTACACAATATTGATCTGGTGCTTTCAGGTCTGCTTGGAAGCAGTCTGATTTGTTGTACTCTCAGTATAAGTTAGACTGAATATTTCAGACTAGGGAAATTTGTTCTTAAATAAATGCCTAGGAATTATTAATTGCCAAACATAAAACTGGAAGTCCAGAGGAAAACAGTTGCTGAAGACAGATTCTTTATACATAAACCTTGCAAACTTACCAATCTGACATATCTGTGTTGACAGAAGTATTGAAAGAAGCAAACATACTTAACTATTTTTATCATGCTCGGTTTTGAAAACATTGTTAATTTTTGCCACAGTTCACTTTCATCTGCAGAAATGTTATTGAATGGGAGTGCAGGCTCTGAAATGGAGCTTGTACCTTTTCCATTTCTTAACTTTGCACTGTGGTCTTTGTCACCTGATAGATACAGTTTTAATGTCATGATGAACAAGCAGAACCTCAAGCAGCAGTTTCTGAGACAGAACATCAGCTGTGAGGCATTAAAAGGAACAGTAATAACAAGCAATTTAATCCAGTATTTATGGGATTATCTGAGGTGGGTGAGGAAATGTGTGTCTTTTAGCTTACTTTTATGTTTAGCTAAAAGAAATGGTGTTCATTTTAGAGGTGGCTCTGCTCAAATCTGGTAGTCACAGTCTTGGATTTTCAGTGTATCACTGCTACCTCCTCCCCTTCAGGCTCCAGTTCTGTCCATCAGCAGTCTGTTTTTGCAGTGATAGACTTGACCTTATTAGGCTTGACTTTATGTGAGTTTTTCTACTGAACATTGTAGGATTGCTTTTGTTTGCAAGCATACGGCTCCAAGTGGGCATTGAAAATGAGCAGTTTCTCTTCTAGATACCAAATGAAATTAAACTTCACAACCTTCTTAAAAAAATTGTTTTTTAAACCATTGTTTAGATTTTCAGTTAACTTATAAAAGACAATTCAGTTTTTAGCACTTTTGTTCTGAGCCTTGAAAAGGGATGCATTTTTACATGTAGTTCTGCTGGGTGCTTCATGAAGTTCTGGATGTTATAATATCCACTGTCCAAATCCAGCCACAGTGTGAGTCAAAGGTGGATTTATTTGTCAAAAAACTTAAAATTTCTCTAAAAGCCTGTCCAATTTTGCCAAATGTGTATCTGTTTTTATGGGGATGAAATCAGATGATTATGCAAGATTTGAACAGAGTTTGTTTAGTAAGAAAAGATGTATGAAGAATTCTTGGCAAAGATGATGCTGATCTCTAGGGATGTCAGAGCTCTCAGGGACAAATAAAGGTGCTATATACTGTCAAGAGACAGATTTGATGGTCTTTTGTTGACTAGGTAGAAGATGCTTTCTAGGATCAAATTATATGAAGAGACAGGAGAAGTGCATACAAACTGTAGTAAGCACATCTGCATATTTGGTTTCTTGGTTGCTCTGAGGAGAGATTTTGTTTTGGCCAGTGAATCTTTGTAGTCTTGGGCTAAAACCTCTTCTCTAAGAAGCAAAAGTCAGAGCCCTGTCCATTACAAAGATGCCACTGACTTGGCTGGGATGGCTTTAGGCTGCAGCCCCTCCTGGCTGTGTTTGGTGAGGGAGGAGCTCTGAGGTGCACAGGGCACTTTGGCACAGCCTCTGCAGCCTGCTCAGCAGTGTTCCCCTTTTCTGCTGCCCCCAGAAAGAGCAGGAAAAGCTTTATGCCTTTATTTCACTCTTTGGAATACCTTTCACACAAGGTGCAGGATGCTACAGTTTATATCTAGAAATACATTTAATTCAAAGAAGGTGACCAAGGCAGTGTTCCTGTATTTCTATGGATGAAAAGCTGCTCTAAGTTATCACCAACATTTAGGAAAAAAGTCAAATACAGTAATAATAAATAAAAGTAAGATAAATTTTTACTAAAGTGGAAAAGATTCTTGACATTTTACATTTGGCTTCTCTTGTAATCCTGTGTATCTCTTTTTGAAGTGGGCAACACTTGGAGCAATTTTCTCCAGAATGGCTCCTTTAAATGTAATAAGTAAGGCTGAGGCTGCTGCTCCAGCTGCTGCTGCTGCATGCTTTGTGCTGGAGCAGCTGTTAAAGTTGAGTGGCTCATAGATTTCAATGGCTTCTGGACCAAACTTGGAAACTGCAGGGTTGTTTATCATAGCTGTGTAATGAAACCTCAGTTTTAATATCAATAGCATTACTAAATCCCTGGGATTTAAAACAGTGAACCCATCACTCTATTTCAATAGTTCAAACTATCAATTTGAAAGAATCAATGCTTCAGTTGCTAAGAACTCAGTGCTTTAGTGTTTAGGGTTGGGTTTTTTTCTGATAGTGCAAAGTTGTGGAAAGCCAGAGTCCAGCCCTGCAAGATGCAAAATTCCTGCAGTTCTTCATGATACTGCAGGAATTAGCATGGGCTTACTGCCAATGAAAGCTTGAGCCCTTGTAGCATGAATATGCACCTCTGCTTTAAATTCAAATACAGATTACAAGAATTAACCAAAAGAATGCAGCAGGAATGTGCATACAGGAAAGTACAGCATTCATAGGAAAAGTAGATGAGAGTTTAAAAGAAATTCTCTTGTGCAAGTACAAAATTTTGGACGTAGTGAGTGAGGATTTGAGGAGTGGCAGAAGGCATTTGGAGGAGGATTTGGAATGTTTTGTATCCAAAGTAGAGCTGCTAGCAGGGTTTGAGTCATATGGTATGTTTTTCATGGCATGGTAGGGTAAGTGAATGTAGTCATAGGTGTTATTTTTACTGGCTTTTTAAAATGTGATTTTTTTAAACTCCAAATACTTTTTCAGAGGCTCTGTTATTTTTACATATCTTCTTTTCCAAATGTATTGAATGCAATCTGTCAGCTTAATTTCTGTTTACTTATTAAAGGTCAGATTTTTCAAATTACAGTCTCTGGTTTTACAGATACAAAATGCAGGGGGAATAGGCATACTTGCAATTTTGCAGTGATAATTTCTAATGGATGCAGGTGAGATGATTCAAAATTCTAACTGTGTTTTGAATGAAGCCAGGTGTTTGCAGTTGGTGTGAGTTGTACCAAGTTAAGGCTGGGCTAACAATGAGACTCTAAATGTGGAATTTACCACGTACTTAGAAGTTCTGTTGCAGTGCAGCATTTGCAACACGGTGACATTAAAAGAATGTAACACTGTGCTAAGGTAAGGGAAAAAAAATCTTAAACTGCTGTTGCAAATGTATCTGTAAAAAGAGAAGTTAAAGAAACAAAAATTCTCAGTATGATCTTACTTGGGAGCAGCTAACTTGGTGCACTCTGTTGGCGTCACATGTTACTTTAAGATCTAACTGGGCTGAAAAAAAAGGATTTGTTAACTTCAATGAGCATTTCAAAAACCTGTTGCTAAATAGCCTTTGATTCTATTCTTTGCTATTTTCCACATCGTGCTGTGTTTGGTGGTGAAGAATAACCTCCAGGGTGTTTGTTCTGTTGAAGTCTATTCTTCAGCTTTACTTAGGGAACGAAGCTAGAAATTAAATGTAAAGAATGTAATGAACAGAGTTTACAACAGATCCAGCCTGTGGCAAGTCAAAGAGCAAAGCTGCAGATGCTGTAATATTCTTTGGTTCAGATATGCAGCAATCAAAACTACCAAATTATTAATTTTATGAGCAGTTTCAGAAGGTGCCTAACTTTTATAAAGGGAATTAAATGCTGTTTTTCCATTTGGAAATATTTAGGTAAAATTAGGAGGCTTTCTTTTAATATACTTTAAAGACATTGCAAATGCCATTAATTTTTAGAGTGGTAGGAAATTTGATGGAGAAAACCCCTGTAAAATCCTCCAGCCTGTCACCTTGCTAATGCTGGACAATTCTGACAGACAAGGTGTGTATGCTCTTTACAAAGATACTTGCTTAAGTTGCTTTGAAATACCCAACTTATCTGTCCTCTTTGTGGCTGTTCTGGGGGCATTTGGATGGAAATTTAAGAGGCTTTACCTGGCAAATCAGCAAGTATGTACACTCCTGCACACTGCTGGAATCTCTTAATCCATTAAAAGCAAACAGGTGTTTGAAATCCTGTCAGCAGTTTTGTAGGATTGAGTCCTTAGTGTCAGAGGAACACAGGATCTGGCTCCATTTCCTTCAGTTTTCACTTGAGCCAGTACGCAAGGATTTTAATGGGACTTCGTTTAAAAGTAGCAAACATGAAGTATTATTTTCTAGTACTAAGCTAGTGGTTAACATGTCTATTTTTTGCTGTCTTGCCACCAATACTGTAAAAATGTATAATCAAACCAGCTTTAATTCTTGTAAAACTGAAATTGGTTTGTAAAACAATGTATAAATTGTGTTTCATAGACAGAAAAGCTTGTATTACTGAATGTAATATATGTGAAATGAATATATTATAGTCTATTTTTGCCATGGAAATAAATATTTGAAGCAATTATGAGTTTTTATAGTTCCATTATTAAAAGAAAAATCCAAGAACTTACTCCTCATGTGTAGTCCTAAGATGGGAGTTTGCCTTCAGTTGACAAAGGTGTGATCCCTCTTTTAATGTGCTGCAAGTACTGGGTATAAAACTTGTGTCAAGTATTAACAGGTGTCATCTTTGTGGCAGGAAAATCTTGTGCCTGCTGCTCTGTCATATTTTTTCACAATGTTTTGCATTTTCTAAAGCTGTTTTTGGTACTGAACTTCCAGTTTCCCTCTAACATTTATGTATAGGAGGGATTAAACGCTTTTGAAAGTTGGAGAACCCTTTCCAAAAGCATGTGAGAGAAGAAACAGTGGATTGTATGCTTACTATGATTGGACCTGCTGCCAACAACAAGCACTGAAGTTATTTTCATTCTAGAATTGGCATTGAGTTAAAAAGGGAGGTGATGCAGCAGGCTTGCTCTACACACCTGGTGCAGCATGGATGAGGCTTTGTGAGGTGAATACAAGAATTGCACACTGGACGTTATTGCTTCACACTGCATAAGTGCATTTCCTTTGTCTTTGCTAAATGTTTGGAGCATTGTCCACCTATCTCCATCTGAAACAATCGCACTTTTAACTAAATTTTGTCTTCTAGGTGCACTCAGTTTGAAGGCATTAATCAGCCTAAGGTAAGACAGTTACAAACCACAGATCCATCTGTACTTGTCATAGCAGTTCCAAGTCCTGGGGGATGTCCTGTGTGATGCTCATTTAAAGCTCTTTTATTGGACATGGATTCAAAACCAAAAGAGGAAAATGAGACTTCCTGGGACCTGATGCTCATGGTGAAACATTCAGCAGTTTTTATCACACATTATTTATACTGGTTTTAGATCTCTGGCAAAAGTATCTTCAGAAACCTAAATTTCCTCTAAATCCAAATGGTTTTAAACTGCAGTTGTTATTTCCCAGCCACTGTAAAAGCCCCATTAGAGACTTCTGGTAGTCAGAGTTGGTTGACAGGGACATGACTTGATGCTTGCATTTGGCACATCTGGCACTTCAGGAGCTTTCTTGGGCAAGAGCTCCAGGACTTGGTACATGAGAAACTTATGGGAGCTGATGAGAGAAGTTTCTGGCTCACCCAGAAGAGCAATAGGAATCCAAATGACAGGTATCAGATGCAGTAGCTTTGATGCACTGCAAAAAAGCTCATTTTACCCAAAATAAGGAGCATTGCTGAGTGTATGCACTCCCTGCAGTCAGAGCAAATTTGCCCTTAGTGCCATGGTGTTAGGAGGGCTGCCATGGTGAGTTTAGCATTTTCAGTGCATATATGCCATCAAGCTGGTAGTACAGTGCTCCATTTGAGCCTGTTTTCAGGACAAAAGGTCAGCCTTGTCCCTCTGCACAGTGCTGGTGTTTAAATAATGACAAATAAGCAGAACTGAGAGTAATGGACATTCTGGAAATGCTTCACAAATACTACAGGTCGAATTTCCTGATATTTGGGAAGGTAACTTTGGCCATGGGCTGGCCCAGCCTACCACTCCCCTGCCCCTCAGTGCTGTTACTGGAGCGTGCCTGAGACTGCAGCACAGGTCTCTCATGGCAGGGCTGTGCTCTCACTTCCTGCTGCTTCCTCAGGTGCAGGGAGGAACAAGGAGCTGGCTGGGGAGATGTGCCCAAGAATCCTTTGGGGAGATCACATAGCACCATAAAGTGAATTGAACAGAGACTCCAAGATGTTCAAATACTGAGGAGGAGGCATGGAGAAACACACCCTATGGAAACCCATAGCAAGGGCCTTTAAAGACTGATGCTTAGGCTGGAACTCCCTGTTATAAGGCTAAAGGCTGTCAGGGTGGGAGTAGCCATTATGCAAGCTTGTGTCTGGAGAAGGGAAAACCAAGATGAAAGCTTCAGGAGCTCCTCTGTCTTTCTCTTAGAATCCACTGTTATCTTAGATGGTTGTGCCCAGCTTTTGGGAAGCCTCAGAGCCAGCTTCCAAACCTGTGCTATATGTGTGATCTCTGGTTTCACTTGTGTCAAACATTGGGAAGAAGCAAGGTGCCAAATGCCTCTGAGATGAATTTCTGATTGGAGAGGCTGCACCTCTGAGGTCCTGCAAGGAATTCTCAGGCTGACAGGAGAGCTGATGGCCTTTAACACATGTCTTCACTTCTTTGGCATGTGAGCATGCTTATGAGTGAGAGAAATGGATACTGGGAAGAGCTGGGGTCACCTCATAGTTGTGTTACTCATCTGGACCCAGTCTCTGGCTGCTGTGAGCTGTAAGGTATGCTGCAGCCCTCACACAGATACTGTAAGGGGAGTCCTACGGGCTTGCTGAATTCCTGGGATAACTGCACAGAGCTCTGCACCTCGTGCTACAGATCACGCTGCCTGTCCCCTACGAGAATGGGACAGCGCAGCTCTGTTCCCTGCCAGCCTGAGCTCTGCTGGAGTCTCTCTCTCAGGTTTCAGAGGCCTCCCTACTCCATTTATGTAGACTTTCCTTCCCTTCTCAAGGTCTGATTTCATTCCCCCAGTGTGGGAGGGCTGGAAGGATTGCAGGGGAACCTGTGTGTGCTGAATCCTGTGATCTACAAGAGCAGCAAGGGCACAGCAGCACCTGTGTTGGTGCCTGTGGGGAAGTCTGGCATTCCTCCAGCCTAAAACAGTGTTGGGTTGAGAGCCTGTGCTTTTTGCAGGTCAGTGTCACAGCTTCAAATATGAATGCAAGTGAAGTTTTGTGTGTTGTCACCTGGCTGTGGGGCACAGCTCCTGGCCCTTGCTGTCAGCTAGAATTACCTTAGTGGGTGAGCTAAAAGGTACCATTAGGAACCCAGATACTCTGGAGACTTTCTATAGAGAACAGAAAGTCCCATGCACAGTACTTCATCCTTCATTTTGGTACCCTTCAACTGAAATAACAATTCTTGTTGCTACTCTTCAACGGCCTGACACCCTGGAGTTCCTCCTATGCTTTAAAATGGAGATAAGCTACAGGTGGGTGTTCTACAACTCAGATGATTTGTTGAGCTAGTTGCAACTACTGTTTCTTCTTTTCCCTTCCCAGTGATGCTTTATCCCAGTGACATGCTCAGATTCCCCTGGCCCACAATCTGCTACAGGTTTTGAAACTGGATCCCTTGACTGGCTGTGACTGTGCTGGAGCAGTGGCTGGTGCAGATTAATTTACTGCTCACCTTGCATATGACTTGCTTTACTACTGGAATACAAACTGAATGTGGTTGTTTCTGAATGAAGTGGATTTCACTAAAGGAAACAGGAAGATTGGACTGCTTGTATCTGGCTTGGTTGTTTTGGAGAGCGAGAAATGATTTTTGTTAAAATCACTGGTTGCTGTTCCGTTCCTTGTAATCTGTGTACATACCAGGTGTCAGCTCTTGAGAACCGCAGGGTAAGTGCCTGGGAAGGGCCAGAGAAAAAATGATGGCTTTGGAACATCCCACAGCTGCAGTGCCCTCCACTTGCTTGTCAATGTATGCTCCTGCCTTGGGTGGTCAAAAATTAAAGTGGGATACTGAAGTAGACCTTGAGTTCCAATTTTGTATTTTTTCCCCTTTGCATAAATTTTTAGGTCTCAAATACAAGCTCTATGATACAAAGGTGGTATCATGCATTAGGTATACACAAGGAAGGTAAAATATGTTTGAAGGCCAAAGTTAACAAGTGGCACCTCAATCTCTACATTGCACCTGTGTTCTAGCCAGTAAGAGGCCTCACTTTAAAAGATGGAACCAGGAACAATCTGCCTTTTGCCAGTCGCTTAAGATTCAGGCATGTAATGGTGTGTGACTGCCCTGTTCTGCTACTGCTTGTGACAAGACTTGAGTAAAACAAAGTAAAATGTGACAAGAGAAAAAAATTCAAACCCAACCAACTAAAACCCTCAGAAAAATCCTCAAACCTTGCAGTGTTGATTAATCTTAGCAGTGATGTGGGTCAGGCTTGCATATCAGGGTCTTTAAACAACTTACATTTTAAGCACTATTTTAAAAGTAAATGTGAATAGAAGAAAGTTTTAAATCCAAGGCAGCCTGAATTTGCTCTTGGATTTGCACATAAACTGATTTTATGTAGGTAACATCTATCTAGAATGTTTTCTCCCTACTATCTTATAGGAGTGCCTCTACAATGAGAGAAACCAGTTCTGTGGACTGGACTCACTGCTCCAGTTGCTGGATATTGGGGTGTGTAATTCTCTGCTTCTTTAACAGACATTTCACTGTGGATCCAATAAACGTTCACACTTACAGTTTAGGAAGACAGGTGCTTTCTTTGTGAAAGGTCTCTCTTAATCAAGTTTTTTCCTCTTTTAAGTTGCTGTTACCCAGAAAAAAAAAGTTACTCAGAAAAAAATGTCATTGATGTTGAGACAGTTCATCAACAGGAAATATGGTCAAGGTTTTTATTTGTTTTTATGTTACTTGTATTACAGGAAATGAGCATGTCATTACTAGAGTCTTTCTGTGATTTCCCTAAAGTATTTTTGCATGTGAAATTTGAATGTGAAATTCTTACTAATCTCTAATCAGACTCATGCAGACCAGAAGCCAGAGTTTGCTGAGTGACATTTTTTATGATGTATAAGTCACAAGTGTAGAGATAGGAAGGGAAAAAACCCTAAATTCCTATTATTGACCAAGAATGGAGAACTTGGAATGGAGGGCCTGAAGAATGGGTGAAGTCCTGGCCAAGGAGCAAAGAGGCTTTATACTTGTATACATCAAACCACGTTCTTTAGCTTTTGAACCAGTCCCTGTGAGACAGAATTCTTCGTAGACTAGAAACAAGTTTTCCTAGGGCATCCTTTCTGTTCAGCACCCTTGGGTAAGGAACGGAGAGGGAGTTTCCTTGAGGATGGGAGGAGGTCTGTGATCACTTGTGCAAGGACAAACCCTCCCTGCACTGTACTGACTCAGCCCTGTGATCACATCTTTTCAACAAGACAGGCTCTGATGGGGGGATGTAGAAGTGCTCACATTATCTCACCTG